CGGGATGTGGAGAGCGACAGGGGACTACCGCGCGCTGAACGGCAAGACCAAGCCAGACCGCTACCCGCTGCCACACATCCACAGCATCAGCACCCGTCTCCATGGGATGCGTGTGTTCTCCAAGGTGGACCTGCTGAGAGCCTATCACCAGATCCCTATGTCGCCACAGGATGTGGAGAAGACGGCTGTAACGACACCATTCGGCGCGTACGAATACGTGTTCATGCCGCTGGGCCTGCGGAACAGTGGGGCTACATTCCAGCGTGTGATGGACCAGCTGTTCCGCCAGGTCAGCTGCGTCTTCGTCTACCTGGATGACGTCCTGATCTTCTCGCCAGACGCAGAGCAGCATCACAAGGACCTTCAGACCGTCCTCGGCATCCTCCATCGACACCGGCTAAGGATCTCGCTGGACAAGTGCGACTTCTTCAAGTCGCAGGTGGTCTATCTAGGCCACACCGTCTCCGCCGAGGGGCTCCGGCCGCCAGACGCCAAGATCGAGGAGATCGCAGATCTGCCGACTCCACCGGACTCCACAGCACTCCGCCGATTCCTCGGGATGGTCGGGTTCTTCCGCCGGATGATCCCACACTTCGCCGAGATCGTCCACCCGCTGACAGAGCTGATGAAGCACAACCAGAAGAGCACCAACCTCCCGTGGACCGAGACGGAGCTCGCCGCCTTCACAGACATCAAGGAGGCACTGCAGACAGCATGCACCATCCGACATCACCTGCCGTCCTGTGAGACCTACCACCTGGTCACCGACTGCTCACAGGTGGCAGCCGGTGCAGCTCTGTACCAGATCGTGGACGGTCACCCTGTCCCCGTCGGCTTCTTCTCCAAGAAGCTCAGCGACCAGCAGAGGCGATACTCAACATACGACCGCGAGCTGCTGGCCGCCTACCTGGCCGTGCTTCACTTCCGTCACCTGTTGGAAGGTCGTGTCGTCGCGCTCTTCACTGACCACCGGCCGCTCACCACCGCGTTCCTCAGCCCGCAGACGGCCAAGTCGGACCGTCAGCAGCGGCACTGGAGCGTGATCTCCGAGTACGTCTCCTCCGTCCAGTACGTGCGCGGGGCTGACAACGTGGTCGCTGACTGTTGGAGTCGCCCTGTGACCCCCGACGCCCTCAGTCCGCCCGACCAGAGCTCCGAGACCTCGCCACCGACAGGATCACTCCTGGCCACACTGAGCAGCGCGGCTACCGCGCCCGTCGGTGCGGGTGCGCGCCCTGAGTCGCCTCCGGTCACCGTATCGGACGGCGCGCGCGCGCGCCCTGTGCCGCCTCCGGTCGCCGCGCGCGCGGTACGCCTCGAGCCGCCACCGGTCGCCGCGCCGGACAGTGCCCGCGCGCGCTCGGAGCGGCCACCTGTCGCCGCACCGGACCGCGCGCGCGCGCGCCCCGATCCGCCGTCTGCTGCGCTCAGCAGCACCGCCGCCGACACTGGCATGACCCCGGTGACTGCTGCGCCGCACCCGGCCACCGAGTCGCTGGCGGCTGCCGCGCCACCGAGCACCACGCCTACAGCGTCAGTGAACGCCGCCACCGTGGACGCCGCCGACCTGCACGCCATCGCCGAGGCTCAGAGGGACGACCAGGAGACAGCTGCCTACTCGGACCGGCTGACACCCTTCCCGTTGTCAGCTGATCTCACCGTCCTCTGTGATACCACTCTGACACTTCCCAGGCCGTTTGTCCCAGTCCCCCTCCGCACTCATGTGTTCGAACAGGTGCACAGCCTCGCTCATCCTGGTGTCAAGGCCTCCCTTCAGCTGGTCAAGTCGCGCTACTTCTGGCCCGACATGGACCGCTGTATCCGCCGGTGGGTACGCGAGTGCTCCTCCTGCCAATCGAGTAAGGTCCACCGCCACACCAAAACCGTCCCGTCTCCGTTTTCTCTCCTCAGCGACAGGTTCGAGACCATCCACATAGACATTGTCGGTCCTCTGCCGCCATCAATCCCTCACGGTGAGTCTTTCACCTCCCCGTGTCGGTACCTCCTGACGTGTGTTGACCGTTCCACCCGCTGGCTGGAGGCGGCCCCTATCGCCGACATCTCAGCAGCCACCGTCGCAGCCGCCTTCATGGACGTCTGGGTGGCCCGGTTTGGTGTGCCGCTGCACGTCGTCACCGACAGAGGTACTCAGTTTGAGTCCGCCCTCTTCCGACAACTGGCCGAGATCCTCGGCTTTCACCGCCTGCGGACAACGGCGTACCACCCCAAGACCAACGGCATGGTGGAGCGTCAGCATCGGACGCTGAAGTCGGCCATCATCGCCAGCAAGAAACAGTGGTTACAAGCACTACCTGTGGTCCTCCTGGGCATCCGGGCGGCCATGAATGAGACTGGCTATGCGCCGTTCACTGCCGTCACCGGGGGCATGCTGTTGCAGCCCCGGATAAGTGTGGACCGGCAGCCTGCTCCGGACGGCGCCGCCGAGACCGTCGGGGAGCTGGCCCGCCGACTCGCCAGGACAGACTTCCTCTCGCCGTCTGAAGGCAGCCACCATGGACTGACCCAGCCGCACATGCCGACCGACCTCTCGACGTGTTCACACGTCTGGCTGCGGGTTGACCGCGTGCGCCGCCCTCTGGAGGCGCCTTATATCGGCCCTCTGCGCGTCCTCAGACGATGGGATCGCTGGTACCAGCTGGAGCTGCCGTCGGGGAAGAGTGACACCGTCTCGGTCGAGCGGCTCAAGCCAGCATACCTACCGCAGTCACCGCCGCCGGGTGGGCTGGGCGGTGCCGCTGCCGCACCGCCCCTGCCCCCCGTGCAGTCCGGTACAACCACATCGCCGTCGGTGGAGCCGGGTCGCGCCGATGCCGCGCTGTCCCCGCTTCCCGGCCTGGCCAGCGCTGCACCGCCTGTGCACGCTTCATCATCGCCGCCAGCGGAGCCGGACCGTGCTGACGTAGCGCCGCCGCCATCTGCTCCGCCACGTCGTGGTCGCCGTCTTGGGGGCCAGAGCTCGGCGCCCGCGTCGCCGCCGTCGCCTGTGCCTGTTCGTCCACAGCGAGACGCCGTGTACACTCGTGCTGGTCGCCGCGTTCGGTTTCGTGTTCCACCCTCGTGAGTTTTTTTATCTTTTCCCGCTCCGCTCTTAGGGGGGGGGAAGTACTGTGGTGCCGCGCAGCCCACCGGCACATTATTTAGTTGCGGCGTCTCCGCCCAAGTGCGCTATTGTTTTGTCGCGTGTGCGCAAATACTGTTTCCTTTTCAAGTACCTTCTGATCTCGTTTTTAGTATTATATTTAAATCGTATTATCTTCGCTATTGTCTTAAGATTATATAATGTTACTTGCGTTCTAAAATAAGTTTATTGTGCTTTAATTGGCGTAATTATTTCGTTGTTTTCTGTAAGCCCGTTTCTATCTTTTATCTAAAATAGTTTGTGTTTCTGGCACTGTCGCTTCCGCTCCATTGTTATTCCGGCTCTCGTTACACAGTTTTTTCACATCTCGATATATCTACGCTAAATATAGCTTTTCTACAGTGCACAGTGGCGTCTGACAGGCTGAGTATTCGCGCGAGCTTTCCTCACGTTTTTCCTTAATTTTTACCGCTGATCTCTCGTTATCTCGCTTACCTAAACATTGTCTTTCGTCCCACGTGTCATTTTGGCAGAACAATCATTTTCCTTCCAATCACAGAGCACGTAGCCTTTACCTGACCACTTCAGGTCACATAGGTCACCTCTCGTCCGATGGGATCAGCCCGGGCCACAATTCTACTTTTGCCTCCACCACTACCCCCACCCCTACCACTACCCCTACTCCTACCACTACCCCTACCCCTACCACTACCCCTACCCCTACCACTACCACTACCCCTACCCCTACCCCTACCCCTACCACTACCCCTACCACTACCCCTACCACTACACCTACCACTACCCCTACCACTGCCCCTACCACTACCCCTACCCATACCACTACCCCTACCCCTACCCCTACCACTACTCCTACTCATACTCCTACCCCTACCCTACCACTACCCCTACTACTACCCCTACTACTACCCCTACCACTACCCCTACCCCTACCCCTACCAACACCGCTGGGTCATGTCAGGTCACAGAATAATTGGATCCAATCAGTACTAAAACATCAGACTTAAAGTGTTCCCAGCCATGCCCCTATTCGTGCCATTCCATTACCCTTACTCGATTTTGTCGGAAATGGCGCTTTGAGGCAAATGTGGCGCAGTGCGACAAAGGCGGTGCATCTGTACCTGTTGTTTAAGCATGCATCTGTCTACCAAATTGTACCCTTTGCCCACCATATTTGACAAAACTGTGCGATTTGCGGCAAAAATGACGCCTTGGGACAGATGTGGCGCATTGCGGCAAACGCGGTGCATTTGTAGACTTATCACAAACTGTTTCCATTGAACGAAAATCAACACATTTTTTCGCCACTTTTCATTCAAATAAATAACTTGCCGATCCGCCAATGCGAGGCACTCGCCGCCGATCGGCATGCATTTAGTCCACAAAGTTTGTCGACCCCGGCTCTCAATGAAGATCTACGAAGTACGAACCGATCAAAATTTCATTGGCTTTCTTCCAGCGCGCGCCACGCGCGAACCGTGCACCCCAGCGAGTCGAAACCTAGAAAAGGCGTTGACCCGCTCTGTCACCTAGAAGGTGTGCAAATTTCAACCTCCTACCCCGTACCGTCTGCCCTGTAGCCGTAACAAATTGAACCCACTACACGGCGTGGCGGACACACACACTCACACACTCACAGACAGACGGATTCTGTTGGAATAGTAAGTTAGATGTTGTTCTGTCAGTGTAGGCGAGGTCGTGTTTCTTTTCCATTTTACGAGTTTCCATTTCCATATATACAACTCGTATTGTGTTGTATATATTTGACGTGATGTGTTTCTTGATAGGTTTAGTTTCAGTATGAGCCGCTATATTTACGGTTCCTATGTTTGTGGTATGCCTATGCGTTTGATGTGATATGATGTCTGTTTGTTTGTTTCAGTATGGGCGAGGTGGTGTTTTTCCGGTTCATGCGTCCCTGGCTGCGAAACGATCTGGTGTTCCGACTGTCATCTCTGTACAAAGTACAAAAGGACAGTCTCAAGCTGCTGCACGGATTCACCGACTCGGTACGTCAAACTTGCGGCGCGACTGGTAACGAATGTTTTGCAAGGCACTGTGTAACCAGCAAAAGAGTCACAGGAGTTGGTACACAAGTCGACGATAAAATGATCCGTAGAGTACACATTCATCGCTCCTATAGCGAACCAAAATGTCACCAAACTATGCGATCAAGTATCGAGAATTACTTTCAGTGTAGTGGGCGCCACTGTCTGTATTGATCACCAATCTATGATGTCCGTACCGCTGTGCTTCTCACTATTCTATAACGTCCATTCTCTGTGTGTGTGTTTTTTAGTACTCTCACTCATACCCCTGTGACTCTTACTATTCTCTGTGTAGCTCATTTCCCTATTGTTCTCACTTTCCATGACACCGATTTCGCTGTGCTTCTCACTATTCTGTAACGCCCATTCTCGTATATTTCTCACTATTCTGTGACAACCATTCCCCTGTGTCTCTCAGCACTCTGTAGCGCCGCTGTGGTTCGGTTCGTTCTCACAATTGTATCCGAATTATATCTAGTGTATCTGTTACAGGGAGTATGCGATTTCAGTTAGTTTGCAACGACCCTAGGGTGGTTGTAACCTCCCTGAACGATCAGTTTGTTTGCAACGACCCTAGGGACGTTACAAAATAACTGCTCGTTCCGGGACGTTGTAACGAAACTAGGGTCGTTGCAACCTCCCTAGTTAGTATGCAACGAACCTAGGGTTGTTAGGGAGTTTAAGAAATCATCGAGTCTCGTTTCACAGGGGGCACATGGGGGGGGGGGGGGTTGCCACTCCCCCAGGTAGTCTTTCTGCTCTGCACTCAACATTTTTAGAGCTAGAAGCCTGATTTTTGGTATAGCTGCTCCTTTATTCTTTCTTGATGTTCACTAAAAAATTCAAGTTTTTGTGGTTTTTGGTTTCGGAGATATGACCTTGTTTTTCAGGTCATGTCGTGACCCAAATGGCCAATTCTCAACATCTTGCGTTGGCTATGGGCCTTGTGAGCTTTTGACACCTTGATTTCGGCCTTTTTTGCCAGTCTTACCTCCCACCTATCATGGAACATGTTGTTCGACGATGTACAGATGTCAAGGTCAGGGTTAAGGTCAGCCTAGGTCATCTAAAACAATTGCGTTTTAGGCAAGCTGAATTTACTTTTCGTGATGTTTTTTGACTGCATTCTTGGTGAAAGCTTCTCAGATCATGATTTCATGTAATAGGAACACAAACAATCGGTGCACAAATCATTATACACACAGACACACACAGATATACAAACACATATCATTGACCTCGACCTAACTTGACCTGAAATGACCTCAGCAGCAAAAATCTGGCCGGGTAGTGTGACAAAGAGGTTCTAGCTAGCTGGGCACCAGAAAACGGCATCGTCATCGCTATATGATAAGCAGCGCACTTGATATCCAACGGTGACCCAAAACAGCAACATTTTTTTAGTTTGACCTGACCTGGAAGGTCAATGACTGACCTGAGAAGGTAAAACTGGGTATCATTGGATTCGTTTCTTCCCAAAGAATCTTTTTGGTCTTTACTGCGAAGTTCTATCTCCAACAGGAACGAAATGGCGCGGGGGGGGGGGTGGCACCCCCCCATGTGCGTTCTAGGATGGGAAAATGGCATGTGCGGGCGAGGGTTAACTCTCGCCCTTATTGGTGTTTTGCTAGCTGCAAACGCACATGGCGGGGCTAGGTTATTGGTTGACTTTCCAGGTCAGGTCAGTGACTCAGAAGTCGGGAAAATCGGGACCTGTTAAAACTTTGGAGAGTTAGCTTGTTACGAGGTTTTTCGGTGCGCTGATCACGAATTTCATGTTAGCTTTGATCACCGATGATGTCTTGATGTTTTTGGGTCAGGTCGGGTCAGGTCAGGTCAGGTCAACCAGTAGGCGTCTTGCTAGCTGTCCATAGTAGGTGTCAACCACCACTGAAAGCCTCGTGACATGGTACGAAGGCGCCAAAATTACTTCTTAAATGTTCAAATGGGTGCTAAATTCGAAATCAGCTCCAAAAACTAACCTAAAGAATATATGAACCCAGAAGAAGTGAACTAAGGTCATCAAAGGTCAATGACCTTGACCTGACCTTCACGTGACCTTGACACCCACTATAATGCATGGGACCATCATCATTTCACATGTTTGAACGTTAACAATCACAAAAAGACTGGAAACGAGCGGATAATAACCGTTTTTACGAAGGGCTTCCTGGCAAATGCCCATCTAATTTGAACAAATCTGCACCAAATGTGCACCTAATCTGCACAAAATGTGTACTAGATGGCCGTCGTGAAATACTCCTGAGCTGAATATTCAAATTTTGTTCTTCTTTTCTTTTTAAATGAACTAGATTGAACAAGATTTTCAATGGACAAGATTGCTGACGGCCCTCATGTGAAATGAGACTCGATGAATTCTTAACCCGCGAGTTGCTGGGGGGGGGGGGCGTTAAACGCCCCCACTTTTTTCGCCGGGCCATAGCATAAAAACGGCGCGCCGCAGGCGCGCCAAATTTTGGGTACCTGTAGAAAATTGAGTGAAGTTTATTGTGACAAAGTTTCAAAAAAATCGGTCGGAAAATTTTTGAGATATCGAGGTTTTAGTGACGTCATGATTTCTGAGTTTTCGACCAAAAACGGCATATGTTCAAAAAATCATATAAAATCACAGAACAGGCATACAGACATGCCGTAAACGCCATTAGACTGCCAATACCATGGTCAATCAAATGGCTATCTTCGATTATTGATTATCGTTCCGCATTTTCCATAATCTTGAACTGAATCTTGGCAATTTTTCGTGACAACTTCACGACCATGATACATGAATTTCTTAAATTGAACTTTTTGAGCCAAACACGTACACATATGATAAAATGAATGTCACCATCGTGTTCTACGCCCCAAATTACCTATAAAACATGTGTCACAGGCTGCGAATATCAGTTTTGATTTTCGGGTATATGTGCCTACCCGGCTGACCTGACCTTGACCTTGACCTATGCTTGACTGACCCCTACATGGAGCTGACACTCTTGTAGGCCTTATATGATGGATTGTACACCGTTTTGACAGAGTTTATGGCGAGAGGCGCCCATTGCGAAGTCCTGAAGTCCATGCTACTGAAAGCCCGATTTCAGGTGTTTGACCTGACCTTGACCCGACCTGTGACCTCAAAATTCAACTTTAAAGTACTCATCTGAAGCGTCTCATCGCGCTCTTTCGTTTGCCGCCTCGTGCGTTTCGCTGCGCCTATTGGTTCTCGAGTTATCGGCTGGGGGCGTTTAACGCCCCCCCCCCCCCAGCAAACGGTGGGTGGCGAAATACCCCAGCAACTGCCGGGTTAAACTCCCTAGTTATTTTGTAACAACCCTAGGTTCGTTGCATACTAACTAGGGAGGTTGCAACGACCCTAGTTTCGTTACAACGTCCCGGAACGAGCAGTTATTTTGTAACGTCCCTAGGGTCGTTGTAAACAAACTGATCGTTCAGGGAGGTTACAACCACCCTAGGGTCGTTGCAAACTAACTGAAATCGCATACTCCCTGTAACATATCAATTGTATCCACAATTGTGTCCAGGTGATCCGAACCCGTCGGGAGGAGCTCAGCAAGGCGACATCATGCGACGGCGGTGCCGTGACGGACGAGGCAGGCGAGTTCCTTCATAGTATATGTATTACAGCCACCCTTTGGTTCTGCTGTGGTTGGACGGGTTAAAAGTACCAAGTAGAAGTTACCATGTTTATTCTGATAAACCAGGGAGCTACTGAGCAATTATGCGCATTAGTATGCTGGTATGTCGTAATCTCATGCCTAGTGCAATGCGGGAGATGGCTGATGCTTTGGTTACCTTTCAACACCACGAAGGCTGGCGCTTTTACATAATGATCAAATAAAAAATGGCACTCTTCCTCTGAATTTTCATACAATAGTATAACAAAGAAATCCGTAGTGCCTATATATTGTACCGGCCATTCTGACGCAGATTATACTCGCCTGATTGTGCCGTGACTCACCGTTTCCGCGCTGGCTTCAGGTAAGAAGAAGCGGCGAGCCTTCCTGGATCTTCTGCTCCACTCGACCATCGACGGCCGACCGCTTAGCGACGCTGACATTCGGGAGGAGGTCGACACGTTCATGTTCGAGGTCAGTAAGTCATGTGGGGTCACGTGACCCGGGAGGAGGTCGACACGTTCATGTTCGAGGTCAGTAGGTCATGTGGGGGTCACGTGACCCGGGAGGAGGTCGACACGTTCATGTTCGAGGTCAGTAGGTCATGTGGGGGTCACATGACCCGGGAGGAGGTTGACACGTTCATGTTCGAGGTCAGTAGGTCATGTGGGGGTCACGTGACCCGGGAGGAGGTCGACACGTTCATGTTCGAGGTCAGTAGGTCATGTGGGGGTCACGTGACCCGGGAGGAGGTCGACATGTTCATGTTCGAGGTCAGTAGGTCATGTGGGGGTCACATGACCCGGGAGGAGGTTGACACGTTCATGTTCGAGGTCAGTAGGTCATGTGGGGGTCACGTGACCCGGGAGGAGGTCGACACGTTCATGTTCGAGGTCAGCAGGGGTCACGTGGTGTGCGGGGTCAGAGGTCATGTGGTGCGGAGGGGCAGAGGTCACGTGTGTGCGTGGTCAGAGGTCACATGGTGTGCGGGGTCAGAGGTCACGTGGGGTGCGGGGTCAGAGATCATGTGTGTGGGGGGTCAGAGGTCACGTGTGTCACGGGAGATCACATGCAGGTTAGAATTAGGAAGGTCACATATCTAACTCATATAAGTTATGTAGGCTGGGGAAGGGTAGAGACGGTGTACAGAGTTCCGATGTCTCAGGAGAAATAATGTCCAGGCCATACAGTCAGACCGAAAAATCATAACAGTCATAGTAGGTACTACAGGCAGACACCCTTTTAAGTAAAACTAGAGGTACAGGTTTACGCGATAACTGTATGTTTTGATTTATGTTATGTTACGGGTGCATTAGTTTTGGGTGATTGACTTGTATTTTTAGCTGTATTATTTGGGTAGATTTGGGTAGCTGTTTTTAATTGAACTGTAAGGGATGGTGATAGTTGCGGGGTGTTCAAGTGTATTGTATGTTGGGCCCTTTTTGAACTCAACCCTACCCCTATCCTACCCCTACCCTACACCTACCCTACTACCATACCCTACCATACCCTACCCTACCATACCCTACCCTACCCTACCCTACCCTACCCTACTACCCTACCCTACCCTACCCTACCCTACTACCCTACCCTACTACCCTACCTTAATCCTATACCCTAACCTACCCTACTACCCTATCCTACCCTACCCTACCTAACTCTACCCTACCCTACCCTACCCTACCATACCCTACCCTACTACCCTACCCTACCTTACCCTACCCTACCCTACCCTACCCTAGTCCCTACCCTACCTTACCCAACCCTACACTACCCTACCCTTACACTACCCTACCCTACCCTTACCCTACCCTACCCTACCCTACCCTACACTACCCTAACCTACCCTACCCTACCCTACCCTACCCTACCCTACCCCTACACTACCCTACCCTACCCTACCCTAGTCCCTACCCTACCCTACCCTACCCTACCCCTACCCCTACCCCTTTTTGGGGTAGGGGTAGGGGTAGGGGTATTATTTGGGTATTTGGGTACTGTATTATTTGGGTAGATTTGGGTAGCTGTTTTTAATTGAACTGTAAGGGATGGTGATAGTTGCGGGGTGTTCAAGTGTTTTATATGTTGGGACCTTTTTTAACTCAACCCTACCCCTACCCTACCCCTACTCTATCCTACCCTACCCCCTACCCTACCCTACCCTACCCTACCCTACCCTACCCTACCCTACTACCCTACCCTACCCTACTCTACCCTACCCTACCCTACCATACCATACCATACTACCCTAACCTACCCTACTACCCTACCCTACCTTACCCTATATCCAACCCTACCCTACCCTACACTACCCTAACCTACCCTACCATACCCTACCCCTACCCTACCCTACCCTACCCTACCCTACCCTACCCTACACTACCTTACCCTACCCTACCCTAGTCCCTACCCTACTCTACTACCCTACCCTTCCCTACCTTACCCTAAACTACCCTACCCTACCCTACCCTTACACTACCCTACCCTACCCTATCCTCACCTACCCTACCCTTACACTACCCTACCATACCCTACCCTACCCTACTACCCTAACCTACCCTACTACCCTACCCTACCCTACCCTACCCTACCCTACCCTACCCTACCCTACCCTACCCTACCCTACCCTACCCTACCCTACCCTACCCTACCCTACACTACACTACCACCGACAGTCCAAGTTTCAGCTAAATCGGCCCAGAAACGGCCGAGATATTGCAAAAACAAATTAGTTGTATTTACTGGCGAATCCCCTTGGCGAGCGGTGCCTTGTGTCGGCCTTCGTTGGCTCTGATGCTTTTCACTCAGTTTTCTAAGCGAACAACTGAGCCTAAAGCACGTGCCCTCTGCTCGGCGCCGGTCGCGGCCCCACCACGTGCACACCGCTGAACCCACACCGTCGAAAATTTAATACGACAAATGAGTGCACGCGCTCGACTTGGTATGAAAATTTCACCCCTGTAGCCCTTACCGTTCCCGGGCAATGGCCTGTTTTTGCCCATTCTAATGCTAACCCTATGGCGCACATGAGCACGCGCCACGGGCGCACCCCCGGCCGCATCGTGCCCAAAATTTAATACGACCTGTTGAATGACGTGACCCACGAATCGTGAAAATTTCATCCTCGTGCGTCAATCGACGGCGCCGCAATAAGCCTTTTTGGGAGTAACCCCGACGGCGGCGTGGGATTTTTTAAGATTTATAATAGTAGACTAGAGGTACAGGTTTACGCGATAACTGTATGCTTTGATTTATGTTATGTTACGGGTGCATTAGTTTGGGTTTGTATTTTTAGCTGTATTATTTGGGTAGATTTGGGTAGCTGTTTTTAATTGAACTGTAAGGGATGGTGATAGTTGCGGGGTGTTCAAGTGTTTTGTATGTTGGGCCCTTTTTGAACTCAACCCTACCCCTACCCTACCCCTACCCTACCCCTACCCTACCCCTACCCTACCCCCTACCCTACTCTACCCTACCTTACCACTACCCTACCCTAACCTACCCTACTCCTACCCTACCCTACCCTAGCCTACTCCTACACTACCCTACCTTCACACTACCCTACCCTACCCTACCCTATCCTACCTTACCCTACCCTACCCTACCCTACCTTTACACTACCCTACCCTACCCTACCCTACCCTACCCTACCCTACCCTTACACTACCCTCTCCTACCCTACCCTACCCTTACACTACCCTACCCTACCCTACCCTACCCCTACCCTACAATCCCCTACCCTACCCTACCCTACCCTACAATCCCCTACCCAACCCTACCCTACCCTATTCTACCCTACCCTACCCTACCCTACCTACCCCACCCCTACCCTACCCCACCCTACCCCTACCCTACCTTACCCTACCCTACCCCTAACCCTACACTGCCCTACCCTACCCCTACACTACCCTACCCTACCCTACTCCTACCCTACCCTACCTTATCATACCCTACCCTACCCTACCCTACCCTACCCCTACACTACCCTACCCTACCCTACCCTACAATCCCCTACCCTACCCTACCCTCTACCCTACCCTACCCTACTACCCTACACTACACTACCCTACCCCTACCCCTACCCTACCCTACCCTACCCTACCCTACCCTACCCTACCTTACCCTACCCTACTCCTACCCTACCCTACCCTACCCTACCCTACAATCCCCTACCCTACCCTACCCTACAATCCCCTTCCCTACCCTTACCTACCCTACCCTACCCCTACCCTACCCTACCCTACCCTACCCTACCCTACCCTACCCTACCCTACCCCTACACTACACTACCCTACACTACCCTACCCTCCCCTACCCTACCCTACCCTACCCTACCCAACCCTACACTATACTACCACCGACAGTCCAAGTTTCAGTTAAATCGGCCCAGAAACGGCTGAGATATTACAAAAACAAATTAATTGTATTTACTGGCGAATCCCCATGGCGAGCGGTGCCCTGTGTCGGCCTTCGTTGTCAAAGGTCAACGACCTGCCGGCTCTGATGCTTTCACTCAGTTTTTTAAGCGAACAACTGAGCCTAAAGCACGTGCCCTCTGCTCGGCGCCGGTCGCGATTCTAATGCTAACCCTATGGCGCACATGAGCACGCGCCACGGGTGCACCCCTGGCCGCATCGTGCCCAAAATTTAATACGACCTGTTGAATTACGTGACCCACGAGTCGTGAAAATTTCACCCTCCTGCGTCAATCGACGGCGCCTCAATAAGCGTTTTTGGGAGTAACACCGACTGCGTAACCCCGACGGCGGCGTGGGCGGCGGCGGCGGACTTTTTAAGATTTATAATAGTAGATATTCTAATCCAACAGAAACATTTATGTGTAGTGAGGCAACGTATTTCATCGAACGTAATCGGTTTAGATGTTCATGCTCTCTCATATTTCACAGCTGAAATGTTTTGACGTTTCAAAGACAGGTCTGCGTCGAACGATTATCAACAAAGACGGGTTTGTTTCGGCGCACTCAGCAGGAGTTCGAAGGTCGCGGATTCAATGTTGAGTCTGGAGTGTTGCCACATGGTTAAATATAGTTCTCGTATATATCATGAGCGATAGAATAAGATTAACGTCGTGCGTATTGCGTTGTGGAATGTGAATGTTCCATTTAAACGTCAATGTAATACGTTTATTGCGACATCCGAGTATTGTAGACACATTGAACCATTACGGCGAGCGGTTATCTGCGCTGACGCTATAGTCTAGCGATTATAGCCGACATTGACCACTGACACAGCGCCCTGACCTGACCCACCGTGCACCCCAATATTGGGCAGGACCTAATTCGGGGACACTGTACTCAGGACTGACCAACTGGTGACGGGCGCTCCCTGGTCCAAGAAGGTTCGAGTGACCACAGTTACTGACTCTGTGACCTCTGACCTGACCTGACCTGGTGTGTGTTTCAGGGTCACGACACCTCTGCAGGCACCAACTGGGCCCTGTATAACCTCTGACCTGACCTGACCTGACCTGGTGTGTTTCAGGGTCACGACACGACCTCTGCCGGCACCAACTGGGCCCTGTATAACCTGGGCAGAAACCCGGACGTCCAGCAGAAGGTCTATGACGAGCTGGTGGAGGTCCTCGGCGACCAGCAAAGGTAGGTCACGGGTCACCAGAGGTGCAAACTCGGGTCACTAGAGGTGCAAACTCGGGTCACCAGAGGTGCAAACTTGGGTCGCTAGAGGTGCAAACCCGGGTCACTAGAGGTGCGAACAAGGTTCGCTAGAGGTGCAAACTCGGGTCACTAGAGGTGCAGACTCGGGTCATTAGAGGTCCAAACTCGGTTCACTAGAGGTGCAGACTGGGGTCGCTAGAGGTGCAAACTGGGGTTGCTAGAGGTGTAAACTCGAGTCATTAGAGGTGCAAGCTCGGGTCACTAGAGGTGCAGACTCGGGTAACAAGAGGTGCAAACACCGGGTCCTGAGAGGTACAAACGCAGGTAACTAGCGGTGCAAACTCGGGTATCTAGCGGTGCGAACTGGGGTCGCTAGAGGTGCAGGCTCGGGTCACTGGTGTTGTAAATTCAGATCGCTGGTTAAGAGAGTTCAGGTCTTTGTTGTTGGTAATTCGGGTTGCTGGAGGTTTCTATGTAACTTTGTTTTCTCTGAAAATCCCAATGTTGGATTGAATTCTGTTGAAATGTCGGTTGTGTTAATTTGTGTTTTTATCACACACAAAATAATCTCAATGTAGGGGAAGTTGGGGGAACGCCGAATACTTTTTTCTGACGCCCGTAGCACGCAAGGTAGACAACATAAGCTATTCTTGTTGGCGTCATTCGAGAGGCCAGTTTTTTGCCTTTCAAACATACCAGGCGCATTTGATGAATTCGCATACCGTTAAGCGCACAAACTAACTGCACCCGCCACTACCGCGCCGGCCCCGGGGAGAGCTGAGGGTTTTCTCCCCGGCCGGGGAGGGCTGCGTGATGCCTCCCCGGTGCCTCGGGCGGGCCGTCGCCCCCATCCCGCACCGCCCCCGCCTCACCAGCCAGTGACAGCAGCGCGATAGAGTGCCGAGTTATCCGCAATAGCCACGTTTCCTCTTTCATCTAATATTAAACCCCACTTTTCACAATATTCGGCAATTTTGTTTTTCTTTTTTGCTACAATTTTTTCCACTTTTGCTTCCCTATTTATAATTTCCGTGACGCACGCGATTTTCGGCGTTCGCAATCTATCACCATTGCCCAGTTTACAATTGACTATGTACTGTTTTGTTAATAGTAGAATCAGGTTCACAAGTGGTGGTGCCGCGGGATTCCCAAGAATAACTGACTGATAGGTGTTAAAATTTCTAGGTAAGCGACATTTACTTCTCAGTTGAGAAATTACTTTTTCCCATATTATTTTTACGTCGGTACATCCATAAAAGAAGTGCTCAAAATCATCAACTTCAAAACATTTTAGGCACCGTGGACTACCGACCACTCCTCTTGCACATAGATACTTTCTCGTTGGAATGTACCTGTTAATTATCCGAAAATGTAGAGATTGAAGCCGCGTAGATTTTGTGCATTTATACGGTATTTCGAAGACTTTTCGCCAGGACTCCGGACACACTCCATAGTGCTCCCATCTGCTTACGGCGGCTGGCTTAGATATTCTATATTCTATGCTTTTATAGAAATGATTGCATTTGCATGTTTCGAGTTCGCAGTACTGTTCTTTTACCATTACAGACAACTTTTTTGGATCTGTCTTATTCCTTCCTTCATCTCTTTGACGTAGAATCCTTTTCCATGATCCAGGTATAGCACATGTTACACTCTGAATTGTAAATAAGTTTGACTTAACATTAGGATGTACTCTTTTGATTTCATCAAATGACAATATATTTCCGCTAGAATCAACTATATCGTCTACTAGTTTGATTCCTGCATCATACATGTCTTTAACAAACACCGGCCTCCTATCTACCGTTATCTCGTCATTGTGCCATAAACACTGGGAACGAACTTCTGTCGCATATATGATCGGGTTTTGCTGGTGAATGTTTTGAAAGTCTGATAAAATATCCTTGTAAAAGTCCGGAATTTTCAACCGTTGCAAAAACACATTACATTTTCTGATTCTGAGCACATCTTGGATATCGAACTGACCTACTCTGGATTGCAAAAGAACACGCCATGCCGATTCCCTACATTTCACTATTCGAGTAATCCACGTTAGCCTTAAGGCCGTATAAAACCGAGCAACATTTATTGCACCCAGTCCGCCGTCTTTAATATCCTGACACAAGACGCTTTGTGATACTTTCGGAGGTCTACCGCGCCAAACGAACTTCATAATTAAACTTTGAATTTCTCTTAAGTCTACTTGTGCAATTGAACTGCATGTTGCCACATACACCATTTGCGACGCTAATAATGCTTTGGTGACAACTATTCTGCCTTTTATCGTCAGGTTACGCTGCGACCATGAATTGACTGTATTTCTTATCCTTTTTACTACCGGGGCGACATTATCCTCGTTGCATGGCTCTGTTGCGCTAAACCAGACGCCTAAAATTTTTACTTTTGTCTGCGCCTCGATTCCACAAATGGAGTCTCTCCTAATACGCGTCGGGCCCAACCACATAATATTGCACTTCTGTACGTTTATCTCCAGACCAGAAACGTTCTTAAAGTCAGACAGTACTTTCATCACTCTGTTAACCGAAGCTGGGTCTCTGAGGAACAGCGTGGTGTCATCGGCGTATTGAGATATTTTTATTTCGTTTCCGTTTATCTTGACGCCCACAATGTGTTCTGAGTCCCTGATTTTAATTGCGAGAGTTTCAACTACCAGATTAAATAGCAGACCACTTAATGGCGAACCCTGGAACGTTCCGCGCGAACATGAAAACCAATCGGACGTTAATCCATTATTCTTTACCGTAAGCAATGCATTACTGTATAGTAATCGGACCCACGCTATAAAGTCTGGCCCGAAGTGAAACATTTTGAGGACATATACAATAAAGTCATGTTCAACGGAGTCAAACGCGTTTCGATAATCTATTGCCAAAAGAATACCTTCCGTGTTGTCCATTTGACAGTATTCTATTACATCTGAAATCAGTCTAATGTTTTCACCTATAAATCTTCCTTTAATAAATCCTGTTTGACTGTGATGCACTAATTTATCGATCACATTGCTTAGCCTATTGGCAATCACTTTAGCTATTATTTTATATACTACGTCTAATAAACAGATCGGTCTTTTATTTTTAAGCTGCATCTGATTGCCCTTTTTCGGGATCAAGGTTAGAATTCCTCTCCTATGAGAGATAAATAATTCTCCCTCCTCTTTTGCGAGATTAAAGTACTCTACCATCATTTTACCCATGTCCTGCCAAAAGAATGCAAAGAACTCTGCCGTAAATCCCGATATCCCTGCCGCTTTATTCCTTGCCATTTTATCTAACGCGTCTTTGCATTCCTCCAAGGTTATCGGCCCCTCGCATGCCGTCATTTCATCTTCAGACAACCGGGGAACGTTTTCCTCATCTATAAAGTCATGCAAGACACGGTCTTTGTGAAGTTTTGATTTATACAGTCTGCTAAAGTGTGTAACACAAGCATCTAATATTGGCTTATTTCCCCTAATAAGTTTTCCGTCGTCCGTAATGACAGTAGTAATGTTTGTTTGTGCTTGTTGCCTCTTGCATAAGCGTAAGAAATACTTATTCGATTTCTCTCCTTCTTCTATCCACCTAGCTTGCGAATGTAATATAGCCGATTTTCCTCTTTTTTCCTTTAACTCATCTAGCATCATTTTCAGATTTTCATATTCTGCCCGCTGCTCATCAGTGGGCATAATTGCAACGATTGATTCTAATTCATTTGCTCGGTTGTAAAGTTCACTTTCCTGTTTCCGATTCTCTCTGGCTAACTTCTTGCTATGCCTGATGGTACGGACTCTAATGTTGCTTAACAGCATTTCTATTTTTAATCCTATGCTTGTAACCTCGATATATGCTCCACGATTACGTTTTGCCTTTTCAATTTCTACTCGGATATCGTTCACGTGATCCAAGTCATCCAGAAGTGCATTATTATAACGCCAAATCCCAGGGCCACGACGCTCATTATTAATCTGAATATCAAGAAACACAAAGCTATGGTCACTCAATATGCCAGTATCTATCCTCGCTTCTGTCACGTTATTTGCTATAAGGTTTCGGCTCGTGAAAACGTAGTCAATACGTGACTGCTGTACTGGGTTAGTCCTACGCCAAGTGTACCTACGCACTGTCGGATGATGGTACCGCCATACATCTTCTAGCTCGAATTCACTGAGGATATCTTGTAATTTTCTGCTGGCTCTCGTACCATGGTATGTGTCGCTGTCAGTATCCAATCCGCTCATTCTAATATTAAAATCCCCTGCAAGACAGATATCATGCGTTTCATAGCAAAGCAATAACTCTCGCACTTGATCTAAAAAATTACATTTTTCGCGCTGGTTATCAACCGATGGACCATATACCCCAATGATATAGCTCGGCTCTTGGTCCGTGGCACTGTTAAGTTTTGCGCAGATAATCCGGCCTTCACAATCAAACGTCTTACTGGGAGAGCCTGCAAAATTTACTGGAAATAGCATCGCCACTCCACCCTGACCTGATTCCACACTGTGAGAGAAAAAAAATAGAACCTGACCATTCGCTCTTCCAAATAAATTCGTCATTCTGAGTTGAGTGGGTTTCTTGTAACACTACTATGCTATTTTGATAGTTGATTCTAACGTGCCTGAAAATTGAACGGCGCTTAATACGATTTCGAAGACCGCGTGCGTTAAAAGTTACAATAGATAGTCGCTGCATTTTGTTAACTTCTTCTGTCATTCTCAAGGTGACTGTAAACTGTGGGCGCGAACTGCCTCGGCACTCCGCCGCGGAACCCCATCCCCACCGGAACCTCTGGGACCCACTGTGACGTGGGTATCATGTGACGTTCCCCTCCATCCCACTCACATCCCCTCCCCCCATCACCAGAACCTCTCATCAACTGCCCGCTATCACCTGCTCCACGCAACAGAGCCCCGGGCGACGCAGCCACCTGGTCAGAGGTGAGAACACAACCCGGACGGTGACCTATCACCGGCCAGACACGCGCTCTAATCTCAGCTTTGATCTCACTCAATCTCATAACAGGCGCAAGCTCCAAAACGTCCGGCAACCCAGCCGGCCACCGACCACGCCCGGCAGCCCGGCCGGTCGCCCCAGACCGGGGCGGCCGCTGCCGGTACGGACGGGCAGATCACCCGTCTCAGCTGCCCTCCTCCACCACGTGTGACGTCACACTCACCGGGCAGCCACACGCTACGGCTACACGGCGACCCGACCCAGCACCGTCCGCAGCCGCAACACCCGACTATCCCCCAATGTAACGGTCAGACTTCTACATAAACGGACGGATACGTTCCAATCCTGTCTTAAGGCGCAGAATACCAAAATGAAAAGAAAAACAACTCGCTGAGCGCCGATTTGCAAAAACTGCCTACTGAACTTCAACTGGCAATAGGATCGGAATACATAATCGAAAGCACCATTTCTTCGGTAATTACTACTCACATCACCATATTCACTGGCGTTATCAGTCGCTAACATTTACAGTTTTTTTCTGTCTACTTTCACTGAAAAAGTGACGTTTCATCAGAACGTACCGTGCGGAGAGTCTCGCTCACTCCGTTAAAGTCCACACTCACGTGACCAGGGACAGACGAGACGCCGCCCTCCCCGCCGAACCCGACCGCTAGGCCGGGGCCGAGCTAGAGCCGGCCACCCCGCCCGCCGACGGCAGACCCGGCGGAGCCGTCGCACCCGAATCCGCCACAGATGCGGTCTCTCTCGGCTCCGCAGCAGTACCACGAGACCCAGCGGCCCCGGAGTCCCCGGGAGGTCCCGGAAGAGCATCCGCGGCCGCCCGGCGCGGAGGAGGCCGCCCGTCGAAGGAGTCCGAATCAGGGGGCCGCCGCGCGGCAGGCGACGTCCGGGGCAGCACCCCTCGCCCGGAGACGCGCTGCTGCACCGGGAAACGCCTGCCGCCCAGAATCCTGCGCAGGTCAGCCTCGTCCCGGACCCGGAGATTGGCGCCGCCCCTCTCCGTGCGGCACCAGACGACTCCCCGCCGGCTGAAGACGGAGGCGATCAGCCCGCCGCTCTCCGGCCGCTTCGCTCGTAGGAGCTCGTCGTAAAGAAGTCGGTTTCTGGGCGTCAGCGACTCGGAGATGTAGAGCGGCGCCAGCTGACGCCCGTCACGGCCGGTGTTACCTTCACGGAATCGCACCATGTCGAAGCGTGACTCGTACACCGCGTCTCTCACCTGCCGCTTCGTGAACTTGCAGAACACTTTAGAGTCATTTTGGAGCTTGTGCGCCGCCTGCAGGTCGGCAGTCGTCACGGAGAGGCCCGGCACTCTCTGATTGAGCACAGTCACGACCAGCTGCTCAACACTTGCACTTCGCGGGTGTGCCTTAAATGCATCACACGCGAGAATGAGTGACGACAGCCGACCGTTCATATCAAGCTCCTCCAGTCTGGAATCCAGCTCCTCGTTCGCTCTCACCTGCTGGTCCAGCTGTTTCGAGAGCTGTTGGATCTTACAGTCTTTCTCCATGCACTCTCCTTCCAGCATATTCAGCCTCCTTTCCACGCTTTCCAACTTCGCCTCTAGCGCCCTGATGACGTTGGCGTTGCTCTGGTCGATCAGCTGTTTGATCTCTGCCAGAGCGGCCGCGCTCAGCTGCACCGGCTCCGAGGCCGGCCCGGCGCCGGCTCTACCCGCCGCAGGCGCCAGCGGGTCGCCCGGCGACCCCGACCCCCGCCCGGCCGCCTGGCGTTTGGCGCGTTTCCCATCAGCACTGCGGACCATATCGTGTAAGAAAAGCTGTCTTTTCCGACCACCAAACGTTCCGCTGGCACTCTCGGACCCAGATGCTTGGCAGTCCGTGAATGTCGGGTCGTCGCCACTATCCGAGTCCATCGCGAAATTGCCACTGTCACTTGAGCGGAAAGTCTGCACAGAGGCACTCACTTTAGCTGTGATTTCCAGTCACCTCATGTGTCACGTTACGCGAATGCCACAGCAACCTCTGTCGCGTCCATACTGGGCCACAACGTCCACTCGCACAGCCCACTGCGCCGCCCGTGCGCTCCGCGCGCCCCGCTCACTCAGCCATACCGCCGCACGGAGCCCGCGGCTGAGCGTCCGGCCCGGTCAAGGCCACACGCCCGACTACAAACGCAGGTAACTAGCGGTGCAAACTCGGGTATCTAGCGGTGCGAACTGGGGTCGCTAGAGGTGCAGGCTCGGGTCACTGGTGTTGTAAATTCAGATCGCTGGTTAAGAGAGTTCAGGTCTTTGTTGTTGGTAATTCGGGTTGCTGGAGGTTTCTATGTAACTTTGTTTTCTCTGAAAATCCCAATGTTGGATTGAATTCTGTTGAAATGTCGGTTGTGTTAATTTGTGTTTTTATCACACACAAAATAATCTCAATGTAGGGGAAGTTGGGGGAACGCCGAATACTTTTTTCTGACGCCCGTAGCACGCAAGGTAGACAACATAAGCTATTCTTGTTGGCGTCATTCGAGAGGCCAGTTTTTTGCCTTTCAAACATACCAGGCGCATTTGATGAATTCGCATACCGTTAAGCGCACAAACTAAAAGTATCAAAGAAGTGACTTTTTCGGCGTTGCCCCGGACTGCGGGGAAGGCCGAAAATGGGAGAAATGATCTACGAGGAATGCCGACATTGATGCTTTGCCATTTTATCTCCAACTTTATCCAGAATTCATCAAAGCTGACACGCGTTTTAAGAGCTTGAGGACGCTTGGTGCACACTGGAAGTTATAATTGTGTGATATAATAATAAAAGGCCAGGTAAATCATTCCTTATAGGTAACAGGCCGTTGTGTCGGTTGAAAGCGTAATTTGTGTGACTAAAAATACGTGTTGCTATTCTACAGCAGTAACGTTCACGTAGCGTGCTTTAACGCGCGTAATTGCACGTTTTCGGCATTACCCCAGCCAGCCATACTTTCATTTGCAGGCCCATAACTTTTCAACGTGCTGTATAAATTTCAAATAGACAGGACACTTATGCAAAGACATGCTGAAGATTACTTGACCGAATTGGCCAGACAAACGGTAGCATAATGAGTAAGAAATGTAGCTTCAAAGGCGCATGAAGTACAAGGGAAACGTACCTTGAAAACGCTCTTGGCGCCCTCACAGCCGAAGTATTCCGAATGACGACTCGTAACAAACATGCGATAATTGTTAGTCACTTAAGCTTCAGAGCATCACTGAGAGGTGGCATCCATGTCGTACGTTTTTCGAAATATCTCGAATTTCGGCTTTGCCCCAACTCCGGCATTGCCCCAACTTCCCCTAGTATCATCAGGATATAGGAATAATTTTCTCCATTTGGAAATGGTGCTGAGTTAACCCTAGCCGGACCTTTTGGTTTTCTACATACGCGCCGGCCGAGGGGGGGGGGGGGCGGGTACGACCCCATCGCCGTTTCGCCCCTGGTGGAGCTAACGCGTCGCGGAAAAAAACGAGCGTGTACGCCGTTACAAGACGCAGAGATTGGTTTCCGATTTTAAGGTCCTCGGTCAACCGCTGACCTCTGAGGTCAGGTCAAGTGCCCCAAGGTACGGTTCAGCTTTTGGTGAATAACTTCGCAAAAAACGGCCGCAGAGCCGCGATTTTGGCAGCATCGTGTTCGCCTCGCTCAGGCGCGTCGAATGATATACTTTTTGTTCGGGTCAGGTCAACTTGGGGTGTTGACCTCAGGTCAAGGTCAGGTCAGCACCCTAAGGTAACGAAGTTGGTCGAGAGGGGTCATGTCGCATATCATTCGATTCGGCAGGTCTTCCTGAGTCCATTAGTGGCTTTTCCGACTCGCTAGCTCAATTTGATCAAGAGTTATTGACGAAAAACTAATATGACCTTGATGACGTCATAAATGACGTCACGCAAGGTCAACATTGCAAAAGTGACGCATCTAACTTTGCAAGGAGTGCATCAAATCACGATTCTATGTGCTTGAGATAGTGGGAGATCGTTCCCGGCGCCAGAATAGCAGTACCTATGAATTTTCCCCATTGACTTACATATAATGGTGAGGTCACGAAAATGACCTGACCTCATATGACCTTTAGGAAAAATCCGAGATATACAAGTTGTGAGACTCATAATGGATACTAGGTCCTGCAAGTTTCATTTCCCTGTGACATCTCCTCTGGCAGTGAGGGCGTTGCGAAGTTGCGACATCTGAAGACCGTGCAGAGGTTCACTTATGACGTCATAGGTCAGTGACCTGACCTGACCCAAAAATGCGGTTGGTGTCAAAAGATCCGGCTTAGATCAAAGGTCAGGTATGCCAAGTTTCAGCTCTCTATCGCTAGCGTGTTCGGAGCTATAGCGAAGCACCCCCCCCCCCCCCCTCGGCTGGCGAGGGTTAACAATTTATCCATTTCGTCAGAGCAAGACCATTTCCTTGCTCTATCCTGCTGATGGACCTCCAAGTTTCCTAGTTATCCACAAGACTCTAACCCGCGATGACACTTTCACAGATTTTCACAGCCCGTTTACCCGCTGTGACTTGTTTACAGATCTCTAACCAGCTTTGACCATACCTCTGTCTCTTTGTGACATCTGACCTCTGACCCCCTGTGAGCTTTGACCCTCTGTGACCTTTTTTACAGACCCCTCTGTGACATGTCCCTTTGACCCTCTGTGACCTGTTTACAGACCTCTGTCCCTCTATGACCTCTGCCCCTCTGTGACCTCTGACCTCTGTGACCTCTGCCTTCTGTGACCTTATTCCCAGGCCGCTGACCCGCGACGACCTGCCGAAGCTCCGTTACCTGGAAATGGTCATCAAGGAGACGCTGCGACTGTTCCCGCCAGTGCCCATGATTGGCCGACGACTCAACTCAGACACCGTCATTGGTCAGTTAGTGCGGTGACGTCATCGGTGACCTTAACTCAGACACTGTCATTGGTCAGTCCGTGCAGTGACGTCATCGGTGACCTCAACTCGGACACCGTCATTGCTCAGTTAGTGCGGTGACGTCATCGGTGACGTCAACTCAGACACCGTCATTGGTCAGTCAGTGCAGTGACGTCATCGGTAACCTCAACTCGGACACCGTCATTGGTCAGTTAGTGCGGTGACGTCATCGGTGACCTCAACCCGGACACCGTCATTGGTCAGTTAGTGCGGTGACGTCATCTGTGACGTCAGCTCAGACACCGTCATTGGTCAGTTAGTGCGGTGACGTCATCGGGAGTGCATAATGCATAGGTATATGAGAACACGTCAGCTGTGGATTGAACTAAAAGTGTTACTGAAAATAAATCTCTTCTTCATATGTTTTGTGGTCGATAAAATACCGCATAACACACTGTCATTAAATGCTAGGGGGCAGGTACGCAGCAATGCAAAAAAGAAAAGAAAACTAAAACATTTCTCAAATCTGTTTTCTCTCACATAATATTCCCCCCCCCGGGATTCGAACCCGCACCCTCACCGCACCGTGTTCGGCCGGCAGACGGGTACCCGATTCCGGGCAGCTGCAACGTCGGTCTGTTGGTGTACGCCATCCACCGAGACCCGGTGCACTGGCCGGATCCGGAGCGGTTCGATCCGGAACGGTTCAGTCCGGAGAACAGCAAGGGTCGCCACCCGTACAGCTACGTGCCCTTCTCCGCCGGGCCCCGCAACTGCATCGGTACGTGGTGGTGTGTACAGATTAGGACAGGAACAGGACCGGTATCACAGAGCTGACAGATTAGGACAGGAACGGGACCGGTATGTTCCCTTCTTCGCCGGACCCCGCAACTGCATTGGTGGGTGGTGGAGCGTACAGATTAGCGCAGGGACGAGGCCGGTACCACAGAGTGGACAGATTAGGACAGGAACGGGACCGGCACCACAGAGCTGACAGATTAGGACAGGGACGGGACCGGTATCACAGAGCTGACAGCTTGGCGCGGGTGACGGGACAGGTATCACAGATCTGACAGATTAGGACGGGGACGGGACCGGAACCACAGATCGGACAGATTAGCGTACGGACGGGACCGGCACCACAGAGCTGACAGATTAGGACGGGGGCGGGACCGGTATCACAGAACTAACAGATTAGGCCGCAGTAACGGTTACAAAGGGGGTGAGTCTGAGTATTTCTAGTTTATCACCGGTCAGTTTATAGCTTATCACCGGTCAGATCATGCCCCATAGATCAGAACGTCGCTTATATCTTACCTTCTCCCTCATTGATAGGTCAGGATTTTGCCACGATGGACGCTCTCTCGCTCACAGGGCAGAAGTTCGCTCTTGTGGATTGGTGTATCAGTCTGACCGCTTATCCGACCTCCCCGTGACCCCGCAGGTAAGAAGTTTGCCCTGATAGATTACTCTGACTGATTGTATCTTACCCCCGCAGGTCAGAAGTTTACCCTGGTAGGTTATTCTGACTTATTATCTCCGACCCCCGCAGGTCAGAAGTTTGTGCTGGTAGATTAGGTATTCTGACTGATTATATCTTACCCCCGCAGGTCAGAAGTTTGCGCTGATGGAGGAGAAGGTGCTGCTGGCCAGCGTGGTGCGAACCTTCCACGTCACCTCCCACGACAGCCTGGACACCATCAAACTGAGGCCGGACGTCATACTGCGGCTGGAGGGAGGGCTCTTCCTCAGCTTCACACCGAGGAACCAGTGACGTCACACTGCGGCTGGAGGGAGGGCTCTTCCTCAGCTTCACACCGAGGGACCAGTGACGTCATACTGCGGCTGGAGGGAGGGCTGTTCCTGAGCTGAGAGCCGAGAAACAGTGACGTCACGGCTATCAGTGACGTCATCCTGCGGCTGGAGGGAGGGCTCTTCCTCAGCTTCACACCGAGGGACCAGTGACGTCATCCTGCGGCTGGAGGGAGGGCTCTTCCTCAGCTTCACACCGAGGGACCAGTGACGTCATCCTGCGGCTGGAGGGAGGGCTCTTCCTCAGCTTCACACCGAGGGACCAGTGACGTCATCCTGCGGCTGGAGGGAGGGCTCTTCTTCAGCTTCACACCGAGGGACCAGTGACGTCATCCTGCGGCTGGAGGGAGGGCTCTTCCTCAGCTTCACACCGAGGGACCAGTGACGTCATACTGCGACTGGAGGGAGGACTGCTCCTCAGCTTCACACCGAGGGACCAGTGACGTCATACTGCGACTGGAGGGAGGGCTGTTCCTCAGCTTCACACCGAGGAACCAGTGACGTCACGACTATCAGTGACGTCATCCTCCGACTGGAGGGAGGGCTGTTCCTCAGCTTCAGACCGAAGGACCAGTGACGTCATCCTCCGACTGGAGGGAGGGCTCTTCCTCAGCTTCACACCGAGGGACCAGTGACGTCATCCAGATCCTGAGACTAGAGGGAGGGCTCTTCCTCAGCTTCACACCGAGGGACCAGTGACGTCATCCTGAGACTGGAGGGGGGCTGTTATCTTGCAACCAGTGACGTCATTTTGCGGCTGGAGGGAGGGTTCTTCCTGAGCTGAGAGCAGAGAAACAGTGACGTTGCGGCTACCAGTGACGTCATACTGGGACTGGAGGGTGACTCTTCCTCAACTTCACGCATAAAAACGAGAGCCAGTGACGTCAGTGATGCCTGTGACGTCACTGGGTATGACTGCTGTCAGCCCTGGCAGTCAGTGGAGGGGTGGAGGCTGTCAGATCCAGATGTGTGCGTCTATATATATAATGATGGTGACAGGTGAAGACATATTACGTCACAAAACTTATGCCTTTGGTGGGTAGTATTGGCAGCGGTGATGATGATGATGAATTGGCTTTTTTTTGGGCGCCCGGACTGCAGTGGTCATCGGCGCCCATCGTTGCCATGCTAAATTAATAAATATGTAGTTACGTGTCGCAAAATGTTTTACGGCTGGAATGGAAGCTGCGGTGTTGTCCTCAGACGCATGTACGTTTATGACGTCACATGTTAAATACCTGAAAGGTTACTGGAGAAGGGCCGACGATTTCGCCAGTCGTATGTGTAACGTATATGACGTCATACGTTTTTCCCTTTGACAACTCAGAAGATGGACCAGTAATAGGTAAGTAGAGTGTGGGCTGGTAACGAAAACGACACTGCAAACGAAATTGTGACGTCATCGGATGGGGAGGGTGACGTCAAATGATGCACGAACAGGGTCCTGGGTCAGTTTGTGTATATTTTTGACGTCATTGGAACGCTGCACGGCGTGGTTGATTATTGCGGGGAAATGTGCTTTTCGATTTGCCACTGTTGTAATGTATGTACACTTCTAGCTCTGTGCCTGCCTCTCAATGTGTCTTATTGTTATGCGTCGAAGCTGTTTTGACTATAATCCGATGAGATTGGGTTAATTCACCGCAGTTCGTGGTTTTGGTGGCTCGTAATGTGTATGACGTCATCACAGGTGCCAGTGACGTCATGTGTCCGAGCGCCGCTGGTGGGTGCAGCGCGTGTAGAAGGGTTTTGAAATGCCACTTATGTTTGATGGACACAAAGTACCTACATAACCACACACGTAGGGAGATGGCATATCCCGGTAGCCCACAGGCATGTTCGTTGACTTGTTGCAGCAGCGTGTAGCGTAATGTCTCCCCTCATAAACTGCTTGATAACGAGCTATACGTGTTAGGCGTTTTCGATGTCAAATAAATATGGCACTGACTCGGGCAGAAACGGCGCCGTTGAAACATGGACCGGGTGTGTGCTGCGGACAAATGGGAAATGAATATTTCACCGGAACAAGCCACAGAACTTCGCTCTGGCTTATCTGCGGGCGCAGCGCTCAGTGTGTGGAAAGGAGAATTCAGCGTTCTGGCGGTCCGACCAATTTTTAACGGTGCGGCAAACTTGCAGGCTTCTCGCCCACTAACAAAGTTTGACTCGCAGACAAAATCAACTCGACGAGGGAACGGCAAAGCATCGCCATCAAAAGTTTCACGTCTTCAGTGAATGGTTATACCCTGCGCACATTGAACAATCTAGGTATAGGATGTGATTCGGCTTTTATATGTAGAAGTTGGATAAGTTACGAGCTGGGTAGCTTTGCAAGTTTTCTTTTTTTAGCGGCAATATAAGGCACGGAACAAGTGTACGGGACAGGCCTTGGGTTAGGTATCAGTGTCGCTCGACTGGCGTCGGAGCAGGCTGCACCCAGGAGTGACATTGCTGTTGGGTTGGATGATGCTCAGAAGCATTCCTGCCGGCTGCCCGGGCACTTTAAAACTTCAAACCGTTCTCCAGACCTCAACAGAAAGTGCTGTAACACTGTGAACATCCTTCAAACGTGGTTCTCATAAATGGACGAAGTTATTCTCACTAAAAGCATGCAACTCACTCTGCACGGGGATGCTTACAAGTTCGAAGAAAAATCGTCGGCTAACCACTACCCTAGGCATCACTTATACTGAAAGTAAAGCTTGCAAACTTGCACAGTGAATCTTTAGTAAGTCGCACACATTTACAAAACTTCAGAGACGATATCGCCAGAATGCATTACCTTTGACGCACATCGCGCGTAACAAGTTCGCACTGATGGCGACCTGCTGCAGTAGCCTTCCTGGATATGTGCGGAGTTGGACAAAGAGGGTAAGATAAAAACCACCTTTTTCTCTCGGCGGAGGTATATAAAGGAAGTGAATTTTCCACCAGTGCATCCGTGCTCGGAGGCGGAGCTTCGGCGTCAGATCAGCTGCCAAGAGCAAGAAAGCACACTGAAAGAGCGTAGTGAACGCAGTGAAGGCGGGTTTAAAGACAAAGAAAGAACACCGAAAAGGCGCCGAAGAGTCAAAAGAGTCAAGGAAGAACACCAGAGGAGAGCCGAAGAAGAGGTGAGGTAGTGTGACAGGAACCCAGAAAAACGCTGGATGTGAGCAGCGAGGGGACACCGACACAGCTCTGAAGGACCGCTGGAAGGAGATCCGAGAACACAGCGAAAGACACCGGAGCAGTCTCTTGGAAAAGTGAAGGGACGCTGCCAGAACCACAGTCGGGAAGGTGAGATCCCAAAGAACGCTGAGTACCTACAGCCACAGTGATCCCGATCAATAGATTAACACTTCGGCATGAAGTCGTCCTCTCAGAAGCCACCGCTTCCCTCCCTTTCTACCAAGCCAGTTCCGTGGACGTTCGGCCTCTCGCTCCCCATTCCAGTTCCCTGGACGTTGGGCCTCTCCCTATCTACCATTCCAGTTCCCTGGAGGTTCGGCCTCTCGCTCCGCTGGCTCGCCCTGCTGCTAGTCCTCTCTCCCTTTCCCTCGGCTCTCTCCGTCCCGCAGAGCCACCGGTACCGCGCCCGGTGCGTCCAACACGCCCAGACCCCCCTCCGCTCTTCTGCCTCCCTCTCCTCCCTCCAGTGCTCAGCACTCTGTCTCCGTACCCCCTCCTGTATCAAATGGAGCCGTAACAACACACTCTGTCAGCTCCACCCCCTCCACTCGGCCTCTAACCCCCTCACCGAGTCAAACAACTCCCTCTACCAGAGTAAACTCCCCGAGGGGTTTAGTTTGAGCGCCGACCGGACGGTGGCCTACCGGACCCGGCTGTTCAGCCTGCTGGGCGGCAGGGAGGCCGTCCTCTCCGCCTGCCGGCAGTATGATCCGGAGGCCGCGCCTGCCGTGCCGCGGACGCAGGATCAGTATGAAGCCATGAAGGCGCTGACTCCTGCACACAAGTGGCTGTATGTTGGGGTGTGGGAGCCGCGGGTGGAAGGCGAGTTCGTGGACATGCTGAACGGGGAGCGGGTGGACGTGCCGGCCCAGTGGTTCTTGTACGGCGTGGTGCACAAGAGCACCAGCAGCAACTGCATGGTGATGCTGCCGGGCGGGCTATACACTAGCGAGTGTAATGTTGCTCGGCATGGGCACATCTGTGAGTACAGACCCTGAGCAGGGACACATCTGTGAGTACAGACCCTGAGCACAGACACATCTGTGAGTACAGGCCCTAAGCACGGACACATCTGTGAGTACAGACCCTGATAAGGTTACGGTTGAAAACAGAGGCCGAAAGATGGTCAGATTTGTGAGTCGAGACTGTAGGGATAGTCACATTTATGGGGGCCAGTGGGTATTTGTTCACTGTTCGCTCACCACGCGTGTGGATTTGTGAGTATACATATACTGTAGGGATGCCTAGTCACAGTTGTGAGTACATGCTGTATATCAGCGGGTGTTTACAAACTGTATACAGACTGTATACCAGACTGTATACCACGCACGGACGCCTTTGTGAATATAGGCCCTGAGAGTGACAGCATTTGTGATCAGCGAGGAAAGGCCCTGAGAACTGTGACATTTGGGAGCAGGCTCTACATCACAGCTTTTATAGACAAATGTCGAAGATAACATCAAACATACAGGGTGTCCCATAAGTTCGTTCTCACCTAAATTTTACGTTTTTAGGCTCTCTTGCTTAAAGACACGCTGAAATTGGTTCGTAACTGAGCTTACGTGGTTGCCATGGCTGGTAGAAATATGCTCCACAGTAGCTAATTTCTGTAGACAAAATAGTTTTTGCTATAGAGCCCGCTTCCTACAGAGACGGCTAACGCCGCAACATAGAGGTCTCCGATACGGGTACGTCTCAGTATTTAGTCAGCACGTGACCATTCGCGACGATTGAGGGTGATTGAGGCCTACCAGTCTGTAGCCAATGTCCATCGCTAACTGGACGCGCACAGTCAGCAAGTGACACCGATGATTTGTCGGGAGTCAGTCACTGCAAGTTTATCCTCTTTCCAGTCAGCCCTCAGGAGTGAGCCAAGTGGCCAAAACTGTGTGGCGCCAAAGTGGCCATCAAAAAGGTCAAAGGGTTACAAAGTTGGTAAGCAGACTTTTCAGGATGGATTACCAGCTGTCTAAGAGTGTTCTTTCGGGGTACATAACTCAAGGTGACTTAAGCTTTGCTTACCGGAGGGCTCAAAACAGTCAAAAACGTCTTAAAATGGCCAAACATGAGTTTCGTTATGCCTGAGGCTAAACAAAACAGAGGGCTGATGACATCAACCAGGTCATCAGGACTAACTAGTCCACGTTCGAGATGAAACACCCGTCCAAACTCGAAAACAACCCCATAAGGGCGAAGGAGGAGGCCTCCGTTTCGTCCCGTTATGTTCCTATGCAAAAGGTCAGGGTCACTGTGTTGTGGGATTATAGGCGTTCTGGAGTTGACCAAGTTGCAAGTGGCGACCCAGAAACAGTTTTGGGAAGCAGAATGCCTTTCCAAGAACATCTAGGAGGAGTTTCAGCCCTCAAGCTGAACTCGAACCGCGAGTATGAACATATTTATAGAGGAGAAAATGGCATCCGGGAGGTCGTAGGCCCATCTTCAGGCAAGACAGTGCATCAGTGCACAGGTCAAGCAAAGCTTAAAAGCGGTGCAAGGAGACTGTGACAGGCATTTGTGGCAAGATCACATGCCAGGCACCTCATTGGATCAAAATTTCATAAAAATTTGTTGGTTATGCTGAAATTGAGGCTCGTCGAAGCGTAGCGCTGTTCCAGCCTCGAGGAGCTCACGGCGCATGTTAAGTCAGTCTGGGTTAACTTTAAGCCTATTATGCAGCCAAACATGCCGGTTGGCATGCTGCAGCATGTATTCATGTGTTTGCCTATTAAATGAGGAGCATATTGAGGGGTCATAAATATATTAAAACGCAATGTTCTCTGTTTCACATGCAAACATAATGTGAGAACGAACTTATGGGACACCCTGTATTACCAAGTGTTATCGTGACCTCTACTTGTTAAGGACGCTTTAAATGTATCATCACCGCAAATAAGCATTGCCGTGCTGTGTTGCAAAAGGCACCATTGTACACCAACAACCAGCAGCACGAATGTCAGATTAGAAATTTAGAAGTGCGCAACTGTCATTGGTACCGCTTTGTAGTGTGTGAGACGTGAATAATAAAAAGGCCGCATACCACCAGCCGCTGTGTAGTTTGGGACCTGTCATACATACTGTAGGTAGAACCTATGTATGATGTAGGCTGCGGTGCTACAACACTTCGGGAATCCAAGACTGTGATAAGGGCACAACATATACAGCATATAACTACTTCAACACGTGTTCTGTGGGAGGAGTACACCGCTGGTCTGCCCTGCTCTGTAGGGTTGTCTGATTTGACAGCGTGACTTTTAATATTCATGCTCTGTTTCACAGCCGTCTTCGATAGTTCTCGAATCTATTCGAACATTCATAAGCTCCCGACATATTCCTGCCTGTCATCCCCCGCCGCCGACCTTGACCCTTCCCACCCGCCGACCTATGGGTGACCTGGACTCTTCTCACGCGCCGACCGAGGGTAGACCTTGACTCTTCCCATCCCGATCAGACACTATGCGAGCCCTGTAAAAAGTTATGTAACGACAGTGTGCCGAAAAATACCTTTCTTTGTCGTTGCTATCATATTTACGTGTAAGTTACTACGTAGTGTTAAGTTTTAGCGGCCACAAGACCAGAACTGTGGCAATGTTAAAACAGTGTCTTTAGCTAATAGGTACTGATATCCAATGATTTTGTTATTCGGCTTAGAAGTTTTAGTGAAGAGCACCATTCTGCAGCTCACACATTGAAAACGAACAGAGGCGGTAGGTGTGTGTATTTCACATCAGCTGAAATACGACGCGCAATAACAAACCAATACTGACTAGACACAAAACAACCGCACGAAATAGGACGAAACGCAGCGAAAGAAAGTCGACCGATGTAACATAGCTGAGCCAATAGATAACTAAACAGGCTGGTAAATAACTAGTCTGTCAAACCTAAAGAGAACGGAGCTAAAGCGTCTCGAAGCACTTAACACGTGCATTGGACGTTGAAGATAGCCTACATGTGCTCAAGAAAAAATTATCTCTGTCGTATTCGAAGTTATCTATACAGACACGTGCATCGATAACTGAGCACAATCCGTTCTTTCTTAGCTTTGACAGACTGTACATAGGCAGGCAGATAGGCAGCTAGGCGGAGATAGCAAAACAAAATACCTCACGAGCCATCAGGACGAATGGCAAACAGCTGAGCGTAAGACGGGGCAAAGATGAATGCAGTAAACAGAAAACAGGTTTTGAGTATGCGACATACAATATCTTTTCAAAGCCCACTAAATGTTTGATAGATATATGTTAAACTTTATCCAACTATGTAAGAGGGTGTTCGCTTTTGGTGTGCATTCTCAGCTAAAACAGCAAACATTTCATGATTGAAAATCTAACGGAACTCCAATGATATCACCGGAGTACAGGGTGTCCCATAAGTTCGTTCTCACCTTTTATTTGCATGTAAAACAAAGTACATTGCGTTTTGATATGTTTATAACCCCTCAATGTGCTCCCCATTTCATAGGCAAACACATGAATACATGCTGCGACATGCCAACCGGCATGTTTGGCAGCATAGCAGGCTTGAAGTTAGCGCAGACTGACTTGGCATGCGCCGTGAGCTCCTCAATGCTGGAACACCGCTTCGCTTCGACGAGCCTCGATTTCAATATTCCCAACACATTTTTATGAAATTTGGATCCGATGAGTTGCCTGGGATGTGATCTTGCCACACACGCCTATCACAGTCTCCTGGCACTGCTTTTATGCTTTGCTTGACCTCTGCACTGATGCACTGTCTTGCTTGAAGATGGGCCTACGACCTCCCGGATGCCATTTTCTACTAAAAAAATGTGGTCATACTTGCGGTTCAAGTTAAGCTAGAAAGCTGAAACTCCTCCTAGATCTTCTTGAAGAAGCATTCTGCGTCCCAAGACTGTTTCTGGAGCATCATTCGCAACGTGATCAGTGTCTGGACGCATATTGACCCACATTACCGTGACCCTGGCCTTTTGCATAGGAATAAAGCTGAATGACACAAAGGCCTTTTCCGTCGCCCATATGGGACCGTTTTGGGGTTTGGACGGGTGTTTTATCTCGAGCACGGACTAGGTAGTCCAGATGACCACATTGATGTCATCGACCCTCCAGTTTTTTTAGCCTCAGGCATAACGAAACACATGTTTGGCCATTTTAAGACGTTTTTGACTGTTTTGAGCCCTCCGGTAAGTAGAGCTTAAGTCACCTTGAGTTAGGTACCCCGAAATGATACTCTTAGACAGCTGGCAATACATCCTGAAAAGCCTGTTTACCAACTTTCTAACGCTAAGACCTTTTTGACGGCCATTTTGGCGCCACACAGTTTTGGCCACATGGCTCACTCGTGAAATCTGACAAAAAAGAGCATAAAATTGCAGCGATTGACTCCCGACAAATCATCGGCGTCACTTGTTGACTGTGCGTCCAGTTAGCGATAGACATTGGCTACATACTGGATGGCCTCAATCACCCTCAACCGTCGTGAATGGCCCAGTGCGGTCTAAATACCGAGACGTTCCCGAATCAGAGACCTCTATGTTGCGGCGTAAGCCGTCTCCAAAGGAAGTGAACTCACTGGCAAAAAATATTTTGTCTAGACGAATTAGTTACCGTGGAGCACATTCACAGTTGCCATGGCAACCCCAAAAGCTCAGTTACAAAATAAATTAAGCGTGGCTTTAAATAAGAGAGCCTCTTAAAGAAAAATTTAGGTGAGAAGGAACTTATGGGACACCCTGTACAATGTCAGAGCTAGCCTACCAATCTAGCGCAACCTGTCATTTGAGAGTCATTTCCACGTCATCCTGTCATTTCAAACTCATTGCCATCCGCCCAAATGGCTCATTCGTTCGCTTTAGTTCGTCCATTGCGGATCAAGATCGAGAGCGTATATAACGTAACGTTACGTCGTAACGTAAAGCAGAAAGTAACACAAGCACGTGTGCGCACCGTAATGCGCGGAGCAAATATATACTGGGTAACTGAAAGCCGGTAATAATATAGCCTCGATATTTGATAGCCATAACATAATCAGGAAGGCGATTATTACATCATGTTGTAGCACGAAAAAAACATCACAAATATTCTTCGTACAAAAACATTGAAAGCATGGTCATTTAGATAGACGATATGGACATTTACACAACCAGCAAACCTAGGATATCTAAGAAACATGAAACATTTATCATATTTCCGCAATAAGTATCGCAATGGCAGCACGAAACTAAAATGGAATTGTCGAGCTCATCCACTTATAATCACCACTAAAAACGATCTCATTTCTCATCCATTATCATATCTCGATTTGACAAACATTTTCATAGAGCAATGTTCTTCAAGTGCAGTTATGCGTTGATCGCGTGTAAGGCAATTCTTTCAGTTACCTCTCAACCAGCAACACGAAAAACAGCATGGGCAATCAACTAGAAAAAACATGGTGAGTTTCTGAGCTACTCTAAGCTACAGTAAACAAGACTGGAGAAGCCCCTCCGATTAAAAGCCAAACGAAACCCTTGAATGAACAGCTTAAACGAGCATTGGTCGATCTGAACTTAGCATGAAATAAGCCGAGTGACTTCTCATAAAATAAGAACAAATTATTTTCAGCACCGGCTGTCTCACACATAGATATCTTATATACATATAAGATCTCTATGGTCTCACACACAAAATGTTGTTCAAATGAAAATTGAGGGTAAAAAGAGAGTAACATTGTGCAAAGGGCGAGTGACTGTCACAAACCTCGAAAAGAGCGGTAATAATCATGATATACCGTAGACGGTCATCATTCATTGAATGAAGTCAATCACTATGACCACCTTATGTAAAAATATCATCTAAAGGATAAACGAGCGCGCAAAAGCTGGAAATCGCACACTAAAATCAATAAAAGTATTGTGAAATGCCTCGGCCCATATCACAATCACCAGTCTAACCTAAAACAGCCGGCAAAGCATCATTTCCAGCCCAAGGATCTCATGAGCTCGACTTGTATCCACCTACACACACGCGTAACACTCTAGTCTCTATGGCCTTAAACAAAATTTATCGCTCATTAAAACTGCATAGGGGGCCATAATTATAATCATTATGGCACTGGCCGGCATCATTTTACACAAGGCACTCAGACTGCGGTACAGTCCCGGACACCACACAGACGCGTACGTACAGTCTCGAAAAGAGGCTGTCGTCGCCCACCCGAACTGACCCTGGTTTTTCATAGTCGGCCGCAGCGGACACTCACGGCGACTGCAGCGCCGCCAGCGGCTAGTTGAGGAAGCTCCAGTCTATGTTCTCGCCGTCAGGTGGCGGCACGGTGTCGGCAGCCCGCAGCAGCTCGCTGATTCTGCGAATGAAATATATGGCGATTTACAGCCCATTCTGTAATTACTTTTCCATGAAATCTGTAATGACTATCTGTTCTGTAATGACTGTCCAATGCAATTATTTAAGCAGGGTTAAAAGTGCATGATAGTGTCAGCTTGAAAGAAAACAGAGCTCAAAGTCATCATTCTTCACTATAAATCACTACCCAAAAAATAATTATCTAGGTGTCAAGCATTTCCTATACGGTAAGAATTACTGAATATCAGGCACCAAACGTAAGTGAAGAATAATTCGACCTGGTGGATGACACCTAATCCCTAGCTTCGTCCTATTGTCTGTCATATAAAACGGCCCCTCGGCCCGGTGGCGCCGCCACTCACTCGGCGTGCAGGTTGAGGTTCTCCGAGACGGCGTCAGATGTCTCTAGTGTCGCCGAGTCGAGCAGGCCGGACAGCGAGAGCGCGTCCGAGATACCGCCTGGGGCCGGGGGCCGGGGGTTGGAGTTCTCTGTGGGGGATACAGAGACCAGTTACCATCACAGACACCGCCTGGGGCCGGGGGCCGGGGGTTGGAGTTCTCTGTGGGGGATAGAGAGACCAGTTGCCATCACAGACACACCGCCAGGGGCCGGGGACCGGGGGTTGGAGTTCTCTGTGGGGGATACAGAGACCAGTTACCATCACAAACAGTACTGGCAGGAGCCGGGGACCGGGGGTTGGAGTTCTCTGTGGGGGATACAGAGGCCAGTTACCATCACAGACACACCGCCAGGGGCCGGGGAGCGGGGGTTGGAGTTCTCTGTGGGGGAGAGACCATTTACCATCACAGACAGTACTGGCAGGGGCCGGGGACCGGGGGTTGGAGTTCTCTGTGGGCATACAGAGACCAGTTACCATCACAGACACACCGCCAGGGGCCGGGGGTTGGAGTTCTCTGTGGGGGATACAGAGACCAGTTACCTACCATCACAGACAGTACTGGCAGGGGCCGGGGGTTGGAGTTCTCTGTGGGGGATACAGAGGCCAGTTACCATCACAAACAGTACTGGCAGGAGCCGGGGACCGGGGGTTGGAGTTCTCTGTGGGGGATACAGAGACCAGTTACCATCACAAACAGTACTGGCAGGGGCCGGGGACTGGGGGTTGTAGTTCTCTGTGGGGGATACAGAGACCAGTTACCATCACAGACACACCGCCAGGAGCCTGGGGTTGGAGTTCTCTGTGGGGGATACAGAGACCAGTTACCATCACAAACAGTACTGGCAGGAGCCGGGGACCGGGGGTTGGAGTTCTCTGTGGGGGATACAGAGACCAGTTACCATCACAAACAGTACTGGCAGGAGCCGGGGACCGGGGGTTGGAGTTCTCTGTGGGGGATACAGAGACCAGTCACCATCACAAACAGTACTGGCAGGGGCCGGGGACTGGGGGTTGTAGTTCTCTGTGGGGGATACAGAGACCAGTTACCATCACAGACACACCGCCAGGAGCCTGGGGTTGGAGTTCTCTGTGGGGGATACAGAGACCAGTTACCATCACAAACAGTACTGGCAGGAGCCGGGGACCGGGGGTTGGAGTTCTCTGTTGGGGATACAGAGACCAGTTACCATCACAAACAGTACTGGCAGGGGCCGGGGAGCGGGGGTTGGAGTTCTCTGTGGGGGATACAGAGACCAGTTACCATCACACACACACACCGCCAGGGGCCGGGGAACGGGGGTTAGAGTTCTCTGTGGGGGATACAGAGACCAGTTACCATCACAGACACACCGCCAGGGGCCGGGGAGCGGGGGTTGGAGTTCTCTGTGGGGGATACAGAGGCCAGTTACCATCACAGACACACCGCCAGGGGCCGGGGACCGGGGGTTGGAGTTCTCTGGGGGATACAGAGACCAGTTACCATCACAGACACACCGCCAGGGGTCGGGGACCGGGGGTTGGAGTTCTCTGTGGGGGATACAGAGACCAGTTACCATCACAGACACCAACTGGGGCCGGGGACCGGGGGTTGGAGTTCTCTGTGGGGGATACAGAGGCCAGTTACCATCACAGACACACCGCCAGGGGCCGGGGACCGGGGGTTGGAGTTCTCTGTGGGGGATACAGAGACCAGTTACCATCACAGACACACCGCCAGGGGCCGGAGTTCGGGGGTTGGAGTTCTCTGTGGGGGATACAGAGACCAGTTACCATCACAGACACACCGCCAGGGGCCGGAGTTCGGGTGTTGGAGTTCTCTGTGGGGGATACAGAGACCAGTTACCATCACAGACACACCGCCAGGGGCCGGGGAGCGGGGGTTGGAGTTCTCTGTGGGGGATACAGAGACCAGTTACCATCACAGACACACCGCCAGGGGCCGGGGAGCGGGGGTTGGAGTTCTCTGTGGGGGATACAGAGACCAGTTACCATCACAAACAGTACTGGCAGGAGCCGGGGACCGGGGGTTGGAGTTCTCTGTGGGGGATACAGAGACCAGTTACCATCACAAACAGTACTGGCAGGGGCCGGGGAGCGGGGGTTGGAGTTCTCTGTCGGGGATACAGAGACCAGTTACCATCACAGACACACCGCCAGGGGCCGGAGTTCGGGGGTTGGAGTTCTCTGTGGGGGATACAGAGACCAGTTACCATCACACACACACCGCCAGGGGCCGGGGAACGGGGGTTGGAGTTCTCTGTGGGGGATACAGAGACCAGTTACCATCACAAACAGTACTGGCAGGAGCCGGGGACCGGGGGTTGGAGTTCTCTGTGGGGGATACAGAGACCAGTTACCATCACACACACACCGCCAGGGGCCGGGGAACGGGGGTTGGAGTTCTCTGTGGGGGATACAGAGACCAGTTACCATCACAGACACACCGCCAGGGGCCGGGGAGCGGGGGTTGGAGTTCTCTGTGGGGGATACAGAGACCAGTTACCATCACAGACACACCGCCAGGGGCCGGGGGTTGGAGTTCTCTGTGGGGGATACAGAGACCAGTTACCATCACAGACACACCGCCAGGGGCCGGAGTTCGGGTGTTGGAGTTCTCTGTGGGGGATACAGAGACCAGTTACCATCACAGACACACCGCCAGGGGCCGGGGAGCGGGGGTTGGAGTTCTCTGTGGGGGATACAGAGACCAGTTACCATCACAGACACACCGCCAGGGGCCGGGGACCGGGGGTTGGAGTTCTCTGTGGGGGATACAGAGACCAGTTACCATCACAGACACACCGCCAGGGGCCGGGGACCGGGGGTTGGAGTTCTCTGTGGGGGATACAGAGACCAGTTACCATCACAGACACCAACTGGGGCCGGGGACCGGGGGTTGGAGTTCTCTGTGGGGGATACAGAGACCAGTTACCATCACAAACAGTACTGGCAGGAGCCGGGGACCGGGGGTTGGAGTTCTCTGTGGGGGATACAGAGACCAGTTACCATCACAGACAGTACTGGCAGGAGCCGGGGACCGGGGGTTGGAGTTCTCTGTGGGGGATACAGAGGCCAGTTACCATCACAGACACACCGCCAGGGGCCGGGGACCGGGGGTTGGAGTTTTTTTTTTCTAACTACATCGCCACCCATTAATAGGTGACCAGGAGTGCCCCCTCCCTCAGCCCAGCGACTCACAGAACCTTATTTTACCACCAGAGAAAAAATAAAAGTGGCAAAGTCGCGGCACTCCTTGCTAAGAAACGGAAAACAACTCAGAATAAGCAACCAGTCGGTAAGAGGAAGTCTGGTTAGTTAGAACAAGAAAAAAAAAAGAGGGCAAAAGATGTCCCCGCTGAAAGTTCTCTGTGGGGGATACAGAGACCAGTTACCATCACAGACAGTACTGGCAGGGGCTGGGGATCGGGGGTTGGAGTTCTCTGTGGGGGATACAGAGACCAATTACCATCACAGACAGTGGGGGATACAGAGACCAGATACCATCACAGATACCGCCAGGGGCCTGGGACCGGGGGTTGGAGTTCTCTGAAAATAAGGAGTGGAGTTAGCGTCAGATATCACAGCGTTGGCAGAATACCCATTGTACCACAAATATGGTTGTAGGGTCTCCGTCCCGTCGATTCCATCGTCAGGATGCTGAAATCCTTCTTCTCCACGCCGCAACCCCCACCCTGGGCTGGACAGGCACCTTTATCTTATGCGGGCTGCTCCCTTGGAGCGGCACCGCTGCTCCCGAGGGAGCGCACCCCGTAGCCGGGTGCAGTGAGTGCCTTGGGGCTGGGTGGCCTGTCCTCTGGACGGGCTCAGCCCCGGTGACTTACTAGGGTGCCTGTCCAGACCAATGTCTCCCCCTAATTCCTATCATCCTTCCGGCTCTGAAATGGTCTAATTGGACCGAAAGGGCCTAACCCAACAACAACAAAAACAACAACAACATCAAAAACTGAGTCAGCACCACATTAAGCCCAAGTATCACGCAATAGGAACAGCATCAGGAGGTTCAGAATCAATCAGGAGGTTCCAGAACTATACGGTGTGAATTGAGCACGACACAACAATACGCAGTCACGAAATAATATTAATGTCACAGTAAAGTAGCGAATTAAAAGGAGAACACCGAAATTCAAAATTGTATTTATCGTGTAGCCAAGATCAAATGCTAGTGACTACAGTTAAAAATCCAGTCTTTTTTTTTAGAAACTTTGTCCGAATGGATGAATGGGTGGCTATGGGCCCGTGTGCCCCGCTAAGCAGTGCTTGTTGCGACCCGCGTTCCTAGATTAAGCCAGCTGGCAACTGGCGAGAGAGGGCCACGCTAGACCCCGGGAGGACCGGGAGGAGTCTTGGCACATTACCAATACTACCCCACCCTAGTGGCTGGAACACAGCTTTCAAGCGTGCATATCGCGTCTCAGCACCTCCAATTGGAATGCATTTCATATTTTCAGCTCCCGACACGTAGCTTAGTGCCCTACCAGTTGCAAACAAAACATATGTCATGTATTCCAAATGGGCCGAGGTGCTGGGACGCGATTTGCACGCTTGAAAGCTGTGTTCCAGATTTAGGAGCAGCTCAGCAAAGCCAGCTGCTCCGTAGAGTGTCCTCACCAAACAGGTTTTCAGGGGGATGTCACTACTTTGCTTCGCCATAGGTCCAGTACTGATGCCATTGGTTTCGATCCCGGTGACGTCAGTGCTGTCTACATCCGGGAACTTATTGCACTTGGTTCTCATTAGAGGTGGCCATATTGTTTTGTCTCGTGACGACACATTTGCGTCATCGGGATCGAAACTGGCTGTAAACAAACCGCTCAGTGTCGCTACCCCCTATATAAGGCCCTGATCCGTAGAGTGTCCTCACCGTCAGGTCCCGTAGTGAGCAGCTCCTCCACCGACTGACCTCCCGCCGCCCGGGCGGGGGCGGGGGCGGGGGCGGCGGATAAGGCGGGGGCGCCGTCCGCCACCGCCGGGGTGGCCGCCGCCAGCCGGCCCAGCAGCTGAAACAGACAGCAGGGGACACAGGCGTTAGCAGGACAGCTGGTCATCAACAGGACAGTGCAGTGAGATACTTCAGGTGCTACACTGCGGTATCATCGAAAAAAATGACAAATATGCATGTGAGTGACGTGTGATTGATAATAGTACACACAAGAAAGCCCGTAGATCATCACAAAGGTACAATAAAATGTCACTGGTGGAAATGACACTTGGCGGGCTAGCACGACTAAATAAAATGAACCGGCCACAGTACGACTAGTGTAAAACCTCCACCGTTTAGCTGTAAACTTCTCCACATTATGGTGCCCCTCCCTCCCCCACAGTACAGCTGCAAAAACCACAGAGTACGGCTGTCTGAATCCCAAAAGGCTGTAAATCCTCCACGGTCGACTGGAAAACTCCCACAGTACGGCTTTAGAACCTACCACGGTAGGCTGTTATACCCCCTACAGTAGGGCAGTAGAACCTACCACGATCCGCATCAGGTTCCAGATCTCGGCCTGGCGCTGTTTCTGGAATCGAGTGACGATGTCCAGGCCGCGCTGGAGTCCCTCCAGCGTCTCTGTCAGCGGCTGGAACAGGGCCAGGGCGTACCTCTCCACCTTCTGCTGGTCACTGGGGGTACAGACGGGGTACAGAGGGGGTACAAGGGTGTCGGCGGCTGGAACAGGGCCAGGGCGTACCTCTCCACCATCTGCTGGTCGCTGGGGGTACAGATGGGGTACAGAGGGTGTCACAGGCTGGAACAGGGCCAGGGCGTACCTCTCCACCTTCTGCTGGTCACTGGGGGTACAGAGGGGGTACAGAGGGTGTCAGCGGCTGGAACAGGGCCAGGGCGTACCTCTCCACCTTCTGCTGGTCACTGGGGGTACATACGGGGTACAGAGGGGGTACAAGGGTGTCAGCGGCTGGAACAGGGCCAGGGCGTACCTCTCCATCTTCTGCTGGTCACTGGGGGTACAGACGGGGTACAGAGGGGGTACAGGGAGTGTTCAGGGCGTACCTCTCCACCTTCTGCTGGTCACTGGGGGTACAGACGGGGTACAGAGGGGGTACAGGGGTGTCAGCGGCTGGAACAGGGCCAGGGCGTACGGTTCTCCAGGGTATTACTATGAACGTCAAACCCCTTGAGACCCCACTTTTTTGCGATAATTTTTAAATGCGTCAACTTTCGTTGACAATATTCTGGCAATGTATGTTTCAGAACCTGCCGAAACTTTTATTACTAAGGTATTTTGACGCCAAACGATTATGGAAGGTACTTCTCATTCACTCGTAATGTTAAGGTCAATTCAGGCCCGGGCAGAGGCTTGCGCTCGGCCACACTCGAGCCCCGCCACCAGCGCCATCTGCTCTAAATGCCATCTACCAGCGCCCGCTACCGCTACCAGCTACCGCCCACCATCAAGCCTGAATGGAGCGAGAGACCGGTCGCCGGGCAAGGAGCGCCGGAGGGGTAGGGCGGAGCTTAGCGCTGACGTCATTACGTGGCTCCGCCCCATGAGCGCGTAGCCTCTACCCAAACAGCAGATTCGTTCCGTGAAATTTAACATTACGAGTGAATGAGAAGTACCTTTAATAATCGTTTGGCGTCAAAATACCTTAGTAATAAAAGTTTCGGCAGGTTCTGAAACACACATTGCCAGAATATTGTCAACGAGAGTTGACGCATTTAAAAATTATCGCAAAAAAGTGGGGTCTCAAGGGGTTTGACGTGCATAGTAGTCGTTGGTCGCTCGGCGAGCGGGAGGGCAACCAGTTCCGCCCCTGTATCGCGTGGCCCCTTGCTCCGCCCAGTTACGCACGAGCGTACTCCACGCCGCGTAGTAGCGTGGGGAGGGGAGGGTTAGAATGGTGGCATGTGTAGAGGCTAGAACCGGTTTCCACCGCCATGCCACCGTCCAGCGACATGGAGCGGGGTCAGTGACCAGGGCGCAGGGAAAGGTCAGAGGTCAGCTATAACGTAGAGCTTTGTGTCTCCCTCCCCTCCGCGTGTAACGACCGCACGACAGCGGCCGGCCGCCGATCAGGCTAGACATGTCAAGGTCACCCGCAGTCAACGGGCTCAGAGGGTTGGTCGAGTGTGCGTCCGTGGCTGACGACAGTCTCGCCATATGCTATGGTGCCGATAGACTAGCGTGGGTAATAGTTTACCCACGCTAGCGTGGGTAATAGTTTTCGTTCAGTGCATATGGCTGCTGGGGTGTGTCATCTTGATATGATGCTTTGTAACGTGTATGATACGCTTAAAACCTCGCTGGCAGTGGCCGAGAGGAGAGGGGGGGGGGGGCGGGGAGGTGGGTGCCGCCTCCACAGTCCACATGTTTATTTGTGTTGACTGTTGATAGCTGCGAGAGCTGAAATTTGGCCAGCGTGACCTTTGATTCAAGCTGAATTTTTATGACAGCAGCTGTATTTTCACCCTCGCCCATATTGGTGTTTTGCCAGCGTCTATCGTAAAGGGGGGGAGGAGGGTCCGTTAGACCCCTTTGCCGTTCAGCCCCTGATCGAGCTAGAGCTTCGCGGAAAAAGAGCGTGTCGCCCGTGACGAGAGGAGGCCGATGATACCCAATTTTAAGGTCCTAGGTCATTGGTTGACAGGTCAATATAAATCAAAAGTCGGGAGAATCGGGACCTGTTAGAGCTTCGTAAAGTGAAGCTGTTATAGGGTTTTGCGGGGTGCTGATCACAAATTTCATGTTACTTTTTATCACAGATGATGTTTTCGTGCAATTAGGCCAGGTCGGGTCAGGTCAGGTCAGGTCACATGTTACGAGGGAACCAAAACTACTTCTTAAATGTTCAAACGGTTTCTAAATGCGAAATCAACTCCAAAATCTACCTTAGAAACATGTAGAACTCGAAAGAGTGAACAAAAGTCATCAAAGGCCAGTGACCTGACTGACCTTCACGTGACCTTGATGCCCACTAGAATCCATGGGATCAACATCCTTTCACATGTTTGATCGCTTAAAGCCACAAAAAGACAATAAAACGCGCTCTACTCGAAATACGCCAAAACGCGATTCGCGATTCCGGCCAAACATGGTCTTGGAAAACAGGTCACAAGTCAAAGGTCTTTTGAGTCAGGGTCATACAAATTATAGAGTAGGCGTAATATTCATTAACTCGAGGGCACTGAAAGTTTCGTCGCAATCAGCCGCTTTTTGCGCGAGTTATTTGCGAAAAACTGAGGGTAGGAGGCAGGGTTTCGGAGTCGGAGTCGGAGTCAGAGTCGGAGTCGGAGTCGGAGTCGCCCGGAGTCGTGGCAAGCAGCCAGGAGTCAGAGTCGGAGTCGGAGTCGGTCCAGCTGCCTCGACTCCGACTCCGGAAAGTTAACTGAAGTCAATCCGTGCTATCACTTTTCAGCTGTTTTTAACCAGTTTCCCTACGGCAAAATTCGCTTCTGGTGATCACAAACAAGGTATTTTTCCTACATCTTGTTTTGTTCTGAAAAGCTAACATTGCATCTTACAAATTTCAATTTATGTCATAATTTAGTAGGCAAACATTTTGTATTTGCGTTATAACTTCTACTATTCAGTCTGTATATTTACTTTCTTCTTTTATCGCTCCGAAAAGTGCCTAACACAAACACAGACCGACATGATGGCGATACCCGTGGTCATGATACGGCCACACTCGTGCTTCTCGGCGGGTTTTCAAGCTGGTCGCCAGCCGCTGGTCTCTAAGACTAGGGAGAAATGGTGACCGCATGAACGAAACCGGAGCGATCTCCCGGTGCGCGAACAGGGTGTCCGGAAAGTTCTGGCGCCTCTTTTGGACGTCGTCTAACGCGCACTGTGATTATTGGACTTTCAACCAATCACCGCAGATATGAACCCTCGGTCACCGCTCAGCTAAGGGTCGCGTAAATATGACGTTGAATCGTTTTCAGTGCTAGGTATATGGGCGAAGATGCGCCTTGTCTCTGAGAGCCCGGTGCGGCTTGAACAAGGCGCGAGTTGCAGCGCGATGCGGCGTTTCCCGGCGAACGGTTGAGCAGGCAAAGGTGCATTCCGGATCGGAAATTTCTTAGAAAATATTATCACTCAGTTACGACCACGGTATGCCAAAGCTGCTGAGACTGAAGCAGCATTTCAGCGGCAATCGAAGAAAATCTGGGGTCTGATGGGCACAAATGTTCCATCATTTTCGTCAAGGTTACATAAATGGCTGACAGGCTGGTCCACGAGGGGTTCCTGGACAGTGGACACGACAATCAAGGCGACGTGCCCGAAGGGTCGTCGCCTTGATTGTCGACGAAAGGGTCATTTCGCACTTTAACAGCACGGAGCGCCCTCCAACAACGCCGCTGCCGTCCAAGCCAAACTGACAGAGGAGCTCGGCGGACCAGATCGCCGTGGTGAAATGAGATTAGGCCACCTTATTATCCCAGCCTTAACCCGTTCAACTAAGGCATGCTACGCGTTTTGCAGAATAAGCTCTCGGCCACCTCTCATCTCAGCCTGGAGTCGCTGAAGACTCGCATCATGACAGCATGGGAGGATAGGAATTGTCCTGCATCGTCAAAAGCCGCAGGCGTTTCCGCCCTTGCGTCGAGACCGTCGTCGGCACAGACGGTGGTTTCAATGAATGGGCACTTAGCAGAAGCATGTGGCTTGGTGTTCCTGGTCATTGTTTTGTTCTATTGCTGAGTATATATGGACCAAAGGCATTTGTTTCAAAAATGTTGAAAAGCGCCAGGACTTTCCGGACACCCTGTTGCAGGAGTTTTCACCAAAAAGTCCCGATCAAATTGAGCTAGCGAGTCGGGAAGCCACCAGTGGACTTGTGAGGACCTACCGAATCGAAGAAGCGATATGACCTCCTTGGGCCAGCTTCGTGGCCTGAATGGCTCTGCCCTGACCATGACCTGATGTGAACACATTAAATTGACCTCAACAAAAACAAAGCGTATACTATTCGACGCGCTTGAGCATGCAAAACTCAGTCGATGGTGCCATGATCTTGGCTCTGTAACCACTTATGGTGAAGTTGTTTACCAAAAAACGATCCCGCGACTTGGAGCACTTGTACTGACCTCAGAGTTTATCGGTTGACCTGAGACATTCAACTCGGGTACCAGTTGCTGCATCTCATACGACGCACGCGCTCAGTTTTATCCGCAAGGCGCTAGCTCAATTAGGGGCAAAAAGACGGAGAGGGGTCGTATTCGCCCCCCCCCTCGGCCGGGGCATATGTAGGAAACCCAAAATTCCGTTGAGGGTTAAGCACTGAAGTGATATATTATGATGCGAGAAGTTATAGGTCAAAACAAGTATGCACACGAGCGGGTGTGAATAAAACTGTGTTTGAGGTATGCCTTTTTTATTATACATTCGGTTTGCTTTAGTTATTGGTAAGAACAGATACAACCAAGAAGAGCGCCCCTGAAGAAAAGGTGGCGCACCGGACGGGTGCGATTTTAAGGTCTAAGGTCAGTCGGGGACCTCTAAGTTCGGATCAAGCGCTGCATGTTAGGGGTAAAAAAAATGGGGGGGGGGGGGCAAAAAAGCATCCCGATTTTGGCAGCATCGTCATGCTTTGTCACGGCACTCATCCACTTCCTCGGCCGAAATATTATTTCCTTTTTGTGTGAGTTCTGGCATAATCCCGCACATTATGCTGCATGTTGTTTGCCATGAAAAAAAAACAATGCATGTTCAGCTACGTTCTACGCAGTACGCACTAACCTAACCACCATCCCATCATCCACCACTAGCCACCATCCCGTTCTGTGCTCCCTTCCACCCCACACGAATCAGCCGAGATACTATTCACAGTAGTCAGTCGGGCTAGCGCTATCCTATCCTCCCTTCCTGACTGCACAGCGCTAAAACCCAGAGCCGAGACTTCCCGAGCGCGACCTCTGACCCCACGCGGTCCGAAGGGTCGGCCGATGCCTAAGGGCGCGCCGCGCGCCGGCTACCCGGATAGCCTCTGCCGAGTCTCCCTTTCATACACCGTTTACTACGCGCTCGATTCATTCATGATTCTGTGTTTCCGCGCTCCTCTCGTTAGATGGCTCTACTAATGTCATAGGCGATCCCAGGAAGATTGCGGCCAGAATACCCCAAACGGCAGAAAATGAGGTATTTGGTGATTATCTCGGAAAGTATTTGGCATACAACGATGCAATTTCACAGTCTCGTGGTAAATGTGCATACACATAATTCGGGTTGATACTTATGCATTTGAACATTACATAGGACCAGATATGTCCGAAAAAGCAAAACCAACAAGACTTTTACTGGAGAGCCGTACCTCTCCACCTTCTGCTGGTCACTGGGGGTACAGACGGGGTACAGAGGGGGTACAAGGGGTGTCAGAGGCTGGAACAGGGTCAGGGCGTACCTCTCCACCTTCTGCTGGTCACTGGGGGTACAGACGGGGTACAGAGGGTGTCACAGGCTGGAACAGGGCCAGGGCGTACCTCTCCACCTTCTGCTGGTCTTTGGGGGTACAGACGGGGTACAGAGGGTGTCACAGGCTGGAACAGGGTTAGGGCGTACCTCTCCACCTTCTGCTGGTCACTGGGGGTACAGACGGGGTACAGATGGTGTCAGCTTTTATAGTGTATTCCCCAGGCCACTCTGTAGCACATTTCCACACACCATTCCTTAGTGTATTCCTCCATGATAGACCACACTCCTCTGTAGTGTATTCCCACACTAAACATACAGCACTGTGGTATATTCCTCTAACTGATCAGCCCCTCTGTAGGATATTCCCCGGCCCCCACTACACTCTCTTATGCGCGCACCGCGGTAGTATATTACCCCACCCACCTGTAGTACCTTCTCACACCCCTCTGTAGTATATTCCCCTACCTCTGTAGTATACTCCCCTACCACTGTAGCATATTCTCCACCTCTGCAGTATAATCCCCCACTCACCACACGGCCTGGTGTAGTATTTGAACGGCTGATCACGGTGTATTCCCCCCACTATCTACACTGCCCTGTAGTGTATTTCCCCACTCACCACACCCCTCTGCAGTGTAATCCTCCTACCACTGTAGTATATTCCCCACCTCTGCAGTATAATCCCCCGCTCACCACACGGCCTGGTGGACGTATTTGAAGGGCTGATCGCGGTGTACCAGGAACTTGGCCACGATCCGTATCATGTCCAGATTGCTGGAGCAGCGGCTGCGCTGTTCCTTCGGTCGGCGCCGGTGGCTGTCGTAAGCCAGACACGCCTTGTTGTAGCTGGGGGGGGGGGGGGGCGGAGGTCAGAGAGAGGTCAATCAGTGAGGGTCAGCAGGGAGTACAGACAGGGTCAACGGAGGTCAGAGGTGTTAGCTGAGGTCATCGGTTTGTGTCCCCAAATCTCCCTCTCTTCTATAAGGACCCGGAGGTCGTCGGGCGTGTGTCTCCAAATCCCCCTACTCTACTCACAACACCCTGAGCTCGTCGGACCTGTGTCCCCAAATTTCCCCACTCTACTCACAATGACAAGACCTTTAGCTCGTTGGGCTTGTGTCCCCAAAGTCCCCCACTCTACTGACAACACCCTTTGACTCGTCGGGCTTGTGTCCCCAAATCCCCCCTCTCTACTCACAAGACTCGGAGGTCGTCGGGCGTGTGTCTCCAAATCCCCCTACTCTACTCACAACACTCTGAGGTCGTCGGGCGTGTATCCCCAAATCCCCCCTCTCTACTCACAAGACCCACAGGTCGTCGGGTCTGTGTCCCCAAATCCCTCGGCTCTACTTACAACATAATCACTACTCAGATCGTCGGGCCTGTGTCCCCCCCCCACCCCCCACCCCCGGCTCTACTCAAAAGACGCGGAGGCCGTCCGGTTTGTGCCCCTAAATCCCCCGACTCTACTTACAACACCTTGAGCTCGTCGGACCTGTGCTCTCTCTACTCACAAGACTCTGAGGTCGTCGGGTTTGTGTCCCCAAATCCCCCACTCTACTCACAAGACTCTGAGGTCGTCGGGTCTGTGTCCCCAAATCCCCCCTCTCTCTACTCACAAGACCCTCGGCTCGTCGGGCTTGTGTCCCCAAATCCCCCCACTCTACTCACAAGTCACAAGACCCTCAGCCCGTCGGGCCTGTGTCCCCATAGTCCTCCACTCTACTCAAAATGACAAGACCTTTAGCTCCTTGGGCTTGTGCCCCCAAATCCCCCAGCTCTACTCACCAGACCCTCAGGTCGTCGGGTTTATGTCCCTAAATCCCCCGGCTCTACTCACCAGACCCTCAGGTCGTCAGGTTTGTGTCCCCAAATCCCTCGGCTCTACTTACAACATAATCACTACTCAACTCGTCGGGTCTGTGTCCCCAAATCCCCCGGCTCTACTCACAAAACCCTTCAACTCGTCGGGTTTGTGTCCTCAAATCCCCCGGCTCTACTCACAAGACTCGGAGGTCGTCGGGCTTGTGCTGGCCGTCGGGGAGCCTCTGCAGCTCTGCGCCCTGCCGTCGGACCTCTGTGATCTGCGCCGTCAACTGCTGGGCCTTCTGGCGGTGCTGCTCGAGCCGACGACGGACGTGGTCGCCGGCCTCCCGCCAACGGCGGTACGCGTCATCAGAGGCTGCAGGGGGAGGGGGGAGAGTCATCAGAGGCTGCCGGGGGGGGGGGGGTCATCAGAGGGTGCGGGGGAGGGGGGGGGCGTCATCAGAGGCTTGGAAGGGGGAAGGGGGCGTCAGCAGAGGCTGCAAGGGGCGTCAGACGGGGAGAGGAAAGGCGTCATCAGAGGGGAGATAGGCGTCATCAGAGTCTGCGGGGGGCGTCATCAGAGAGTGCGGGGGAGGGGGCGTCATTAGAGGCTGCGGGGGAGGGGGCAGTCATAAGAAGGGAAGGGGAGCGTCATCAGAGGATGGGAGCGGGGCGTCATCAGAAGCTGCAGGGGAGTAGCGTCATCAGGGACTGGGGTAGAGGGGGTCATGGGATCAGAGGTGAAATTATGGGAGATTGACAATTGTAATGGAGGCAGGGTCATGGACGGACGCCATGCGAGGGAGTTTTGAAGGACAAATCAAGAGAATTAGATGCCGGAATCAGAGTCGAAGAAGATAATTACGAGCGAGCGAGCGCAGCGAGCGAAGCGAGTCTTTTCAATATAACGGAAAAATCTCAGTATGAGCGGCCCGGCCCGGCCCTGTCCGGCCTGTAACGCTTTTGAGAGGCTTATATCTCAGCAACCGCTGGACCGATTGGCCTGCGGTCTTTTTTGCTGGGTAGCCCCATCCCTTCTACCCCGTAATTGACCACTTTTGATGCATCTCAGTGACCGTCGTGGCACGTGCCACGTGAAAAGTCAAGGGTGTTCAAGCTGTTTTGCAAAAGTAGTGATTTTGAGAGGCTCATATCTCAGCAGCCGCTTGGGCGATTGACTTGCGGCAATTTTTATAGGGTAGCTGCATCCTTTCTACCAAAAATAGGATACTCTCGATGCATGTGGGTCACCCCCAGTGCACGTGCAAAATACAACAATAAGAGGTGTCAAATTTGTTCCCATTTTAATAACTCGGTAATTACTCAGGCGATTTCGCTGAAACTTGGCATACAGGTAGGCACCCACCAGGCAATGCATTCCCATGTGTTGCGGTTAAGGTGCTACTGCACGTGCGCACGTGCAGGAGGCGCTTCCAGATCTCGAGAACGGCTGGGCCGATTGCGCTCAAATTTGGTACACGGTTGGAGACCGGTTAGTAGGGTGCCGTGCAAAAGTCAGTTTGGACCCCGTTTGCACGTGCGCACGTGCAGAATGCCGCTTCCAGATCTCAGGAACGGCTGGGCCGATTGCGTTCAAATTTGGTACACCGCTAGCGACCGGTTAGAAGGGTGCTTTGCGCAAGCCCGTTGGAAGTACCCTCTCGCCCTTCCGCGCGTGCAGGGCTCACTATCTCGCTCGCTCGTTCTTCGCCCAAAAGGCGTTTTACTGGTAAGGATAATGCGTAAATGCAAAGGTTTGAGCGTAGAGAGGTAGCGGCAATATCATTGTAATATGATGGCTTATTCAAGACAGATGACCTGCAACGAATGAAACCATTTTATCCAGAACTTCAGCGTTTCAATAGGCAAGCATGCATAACATCATACATCAATCGAACACAAATTCACGCAGATGTGAATAAGACAACTTTCCGCACAGATCGTCAAAACCCGTTGTCGGGGGCGGGTCTCGAACCCGCGACCCCTCACTCACTGACTCCTCCGGCTGCCGCCTGTTTGAGGTAACTGTCCTCGTCACAGGCCAGAGAGGCGAGGAACAGGTCCGTTGCCGCCTGGAGACGGGAGAGATCGGAGACGAGGCGCTCCGAGAGACGGGAGAGACGGGACAGAGACATCGCCAGAGACATCCTGCGGGGGAGACAGGGGGTCAGGGAGACTATACGGGAGACGGGACAGAGACATTGCCAGAGACATCCTGAGGGAGAGAGACAGGGGGTCAGGGAGACTATACGGGAGAGACAGGACAGAGACATTGCCAGAGACATCCTGAGGGAGAGAGACAGGGGGTCAGGGAGACTATACGGGAGACGGGACAGAGACAGCGCCAGAGATATCCTGTATGCATGTATGTATGTATGTATATTTGCTAAAATCCATCCATAAGACATGAATTTTCAGGAGTTGCGTCATACAGGTATGCCATGAAAACGAATAAGGAGAAAGTGGGTTAGGGGCGCCTGTAAAGGAGACATGAGGTCAAGGAGACGAGCAAGACATAATCTGTGGGGACATAGGCCAAGTGCAGGGGCAGAGAAACAGAATACTTACATACCGGGGTGAGTGTGCTTCTTAAAGCCACATGAACAGAACATATTGTTCCACACTATAAACTATTAAAAGACAGAAATGATAGATAGATATGATTCAAAAATTCCTTGTCCGTTTAGTCACTGCGTGACCCCTATGAAATGTTCCTATCGTTCGGATGCTTGAATAACGTCGTGCTAAATTCATTTTACCCATATCCACCCAGTGGTGGTCGACTGCCTCAGATACAAACACCTTGTAGCGACAATAGTTTAGCTGATGTTCACCAAACCAAAAGCGCGCGCCACCGCTATCCCCACAGCCGGGGGCGCCGGACTCACATGTGCACGTGTCGCGCCCGCTCCCGCAGGTTGAGGAGCTCCATGTTGCGCTGGATCATGAACACCGACTGGGCGTATATGGCCCGCTGTGGGGGGGGGGGGGGCCTCGGTGACTGAGCAGACCGGCAGCCGGCGCCGTTCCGTTATATAGTTACATACAATAGCCGCGGTATTACAGATACAGCGTGCATTTGGCGGTTTTTTTGGTTCAATCGTGTTATTGGCGATAGCCGGCACCCCGGAGACAGGCGGAGAAAATTGTCACTCCTCTGCAAGATGATCAGACACTTTTCATATACAGACTCATGGTCAAAGACAAGCTCTACCAGCAATTTTGCATAAGTGCAAACAGTACCGACGCTCAAGTAGTGTATTTTCCTCCAGCTGTAGTGCATTTTCCACCTGTCTGTGATATTCTTAGGTGTTGTTTTTATCCGCTGGGACTGAGAGCGTGAGATGATGTTTTTCGTAGTCCAGCGTAGATGGGTAGCCATACGGCTTCCACGGTTGACAGTGATGACATCAGTCATCTTTTGCAAGCTCGTTAAAGATTTAAGTACGGGGATTCGAGCCCGGGCCTTTGGATTAGCGCTCCAATGCTCTACCTCTGAGCTATATTTCTCACCTGTCTGTAGTACTCTGGCCGTTGTTCGGTGTTCGATAGCATATCCCGCACCAGAGGCGGCAGGGGGACCACCTCCGAGCTCGGAGTGCCGTCCCCGCCGGCACCCGCGTTGAACACGTACAGTACCCACTCCGTCTCCTGGGAAATACACCACGGAAGGTTACTGAAAAAAATACACCACTCAGCCTCCTGGGAAATACACCACGGATGGTTACTGAAAAAAATACACCACTCAGCCTCCTGGGAAATACACCACGGAAGGTTACTGAAAAAATACACCGCTCAGTATCCGGGAAATACACCACGGATGGTTACTGAAAGAATACACCACTCCGTCTCCTGGGAAATACACCACGGAAGGGTTACTGAAAAATACACCACTCCGAATAAAATACACCACGGAAAGTTACTCAAAAATACACCAATTGAGCCTCCTGAGCAGGCCGCTGCGGAGTCGATGGATTTTCGATGATTCCGACTTCAACACCGACTCTGATTCTGGCTCCGGTTGCCAAAATCAACCCCGACTCCGGTCAGAGCTGTCGACTCCGACTCCGACTCCGACACCAACTCATCAGCCATGCGGAGTTAGTGGAGAATGCCCCACTCCCCTCTCCTGAGAAATGCATCAGGCAACGGGGAGCTCTCTAGATGCATACAACAAACAGACAGTGGTTAGTCAGGAAATACACCACAATACTGAGTGTTGTCAGGAAAGACATCGGACAAGTACAGCAGACTGAGGATGCTAAACGAAAAATACACCAATCAGGCAGATCTGCAGGCAATTTAGCAAATCACGTCTAGCTTGGAGCAAAACAAAAATATATTTCAATCGCATTCGGATGTAAAGATACTCGACACAAATGAAAGAACCCTGTACGACCGACTAATATAATACAGTGTGTACAATAGGTGGGCGCTTTGGTTCGGCGTGCCCTGCCTGGCCTGAGCCACGGCCCGGCCAGTACCTATCGTCGTGAGAAGAGCAAGGTGGCTTGTACTCACACATTCCGATGGCAACACAAAAGAACAATGTGAATGTAAGGCATACCCTCTCTCAAACAGTGTATGTGTAAGTACCTGTACCTCCGGAGGGCCCAGCACTGCAGTGCAGACTGGGAAGGGGTTGTGTCCTGTAGTAGAATATACCACACAATGTCCTACCTACGGCGGGGCCCAGCACTGCAGTGCAGACTGAGAGGGGTCGTGTCCTGTAGTAGAATATACCACACAATGTCCTACCTCCGGGGGCGCCCAGCACTGCAGAGCAGACT